AAAAAAACTCCCCTTTCCATTCTCCCCCCTCTCTATTTCCCCCCTCCTTTCTTCCTTTGATGAACTGTGACTCATCGTTTCTTATACATTTGTTATCAGTCTGAGTATTGTAGGTGCATGTTATAGTAAGAATGCTTTTGTTGTGTTTGTCGTTTGGTATTTAATTTGTATTCTCTTTTATTGTGATTCCCAGTCAGTTAATGTGTTGTTATTATTCGTTTTGCTTCTAGACTGTGGCGAGTTGGTCAAGAGATCTTCCGCTAGAGATAGAAAGAAAACATACTTCACTGAACTGGAGAGATCTGGGTAGCACTTTAAATTACAGCTCGGTAATAATGGGGTAATAACGTGGTAATAACTATTAATTACTAGGTAACTACCATTAGTTACCAGTAGTTAGTAGTAGTAGTTATCTATTTACATTTACATTTTAGTCATTTAGCAGACGCTCTTATCCAGAGCGACTTACAGTTAGTGAGTTACTGTTGCAGTTACCCCCCAATCCCATTTTATCATCCAAACTAAGCCCATAGGGGACTCTCATTCCTACGCCAAGAGAGGCAGTGCCACAGATTTTGTGCCATGTCGATTCAAGAGCTGTACTGGCCAGAACACGTTTTTATATATGGCAGTGTTAGAGTGGAACAAACTGCTGGTTGAGATAAAAAAAATGTATGCCAGTCTTAGGTTAAAACACTACTGCAAGGCTTGGTTAATGTTGAGATAGCCTCCTAGCCACGTGTAAAACCACTCTGCCCTAGTGGATTTGTTGGATGTGTATATTGCTTTTTTTTTGTATATATGTAAATATGTGGACATTGTATATGATTGAAGGTATGGCACAGAGTGCCCATGTTACTTGTTTTGCCCTGCAGCCACTTGCCTACCAAGAGGATCACAATGGAAACAAGTCTTTTTTTTATTACTTTTTGTGTATATCATCCTCTGCAATTTTGGTTGCCTGTTGTGGCTGTTGTGGCTACATACAGTATTTACATATAAAAACAGACATGCTAGTTTTTATCTGATTTGATAAAACCAATCTCCCAGTCCAGAGTATGCACCCACCTCCCTATCCTTGATTAGGTTGTGTTATATTTTAGTTGGTTTATTATTTTTGCTTGATCCCCATCCCCTGCTCGCTTGTCCTACCCCCTCCTCTACAGCTCCCTCCGCCCCCCCTCAGGAGGTCCACCTGTCCAGTCTAAGCTCCACCTCCCTCAAGGTGAGTTGGGTGGCCCCGCCTGCTGCATCCCGCCATGGTGCCATCGTGGCGTACACGGTCAGCTACCAGGCCACGGGCAGCACCAACGAGGACCCGGAGCGTCACGAGGTGTCAGGCATCGGAGCGGACGCCTCTAGTTATGTGCTGGAGGGCCTGGAGAAGTGGACTGAGTACCAGGTGTGGGTTAGCGCTCACACTGATGTAGGCCCTGGCCCAGAGAGCACTCCGGTCAGGATCAAAACAAAAGAGGATGGTAGGTTGGGTTCTGGTTCTGCTTCTGGTTGCGGTTTTAACCCTATCGTCCCTGGGTGAAGCTGACTGCTCTGACTTCTCCGACTGACTTCTCCCGTCCGTCTCTTCGACTCTGTTGCCATTCTCTTCCCCTCTGTATTTTTCCCTTGTCTTTAACAGTTCTACTGCTTTCTACTTGTCTCTACGGGTTTTATTAGTCTCTAGTGGTTTCTACTGGTCTCTGCAAATCTCTATTGGTTTATATTTGTCTCTACTGGTTTCTACTGATCTCTAATATTCTCCACTGTTCTCTACTGGTTCCTACTTGTCTCTGCTGGTATCTTCTGATTCCCACTTATCTCTATTGGTTTCTACTTGTCTCTACTGGTTTCTACTGGTTTCTATGGAACTTAACTAACTTCTGCTCTACAGCTCTTCTCTCTGTACGCTGTCCTGGTCTCATTGTTGAAATATATAGTGTTGATCCCTCTATCTTTCCTTTCCTCTTTTCCTCTCTCTCTTTTTCTCCCTCTTTCTTTGGTTTGACTTTGTCTCCTCTGTGACTTTTAGACTGCTATCCATCCAGGGTTAAGGCTCATCACCCTCAATGCCCCCTCTTTTCATTACTTACTCCCTTCATTATTTCTGTCCTTTCTAGCTTCATTATAATTTAATTTTTCTCTCTTCTTCCTCCTGTGGTTCCGTCCTCATGCAGAGTTCACGTCTGGCTCCCTCTGAGCCCAGAGAACTGGAACACAACTCACTCAGTCACTCCTTTTTCCACTTCCCTCTCTTTTCTCACTTCTCTTTTTTTTGTTCATGGTGAGATTGTTCTGATTTTTCGTTATTTAGCCCCCGAAAAGGCTCACCAGGAAGCACACAATGTCATGACTCGTGTTTTGTCCTTAATTTTATTTTAAATTAAATGACCACAGGTCATAAACCTGAAATACAACAAACAAATAATGACAATATATTATTCAAATATATAATGTAAATATATTATTCAAATAATATAATATAATAATAATGTAAATAATGAAAATCAAATAAGCCTGCAACACCATCAAAAAATTTGGCAAATCTGTCTTAAAACAACATTGACTACATCACCCAGAATGCCTAGCGCCCGAGGAGCATGCGCACAGTGACTCTGCTGTCACTGGTTGCTATGGACGCTGTCACAGGACATGGAACCCATGCCTCGTCCAAACGCAACATAACGCTCACTCCACCATGGATCACAGAACCAAACCACCGCTATCACCACCGCCACCAGAAACCAGAAGAGTGCTCCGAACAATCAGCACAACGCAAATGGCGGATAATGATAGCCTAATGCTATACAGCATCTGGGTCGCTGAGCTACCGCACCCAGCGAGCTACAAGTTACTCTCGGCCAACTAACACCGACACAGTGAGGTAAACGTTCAGTGCTCAAACATATAAGTGATTTAAACATTAATGCTAGACTGTGAGTAGTTCGTAGTTACATACCAACGGGCTGTGTGCTCCTGATGATTGTCTGCGGTGAAATGATTACCAGCTGCCATAATTTAAGTCTCTAGTGAAGCTGCGCATGCGCACATAACGTAACATATATGAGCATCTAAGAAACTTAAAGAAATCACTCGTTCCCCATTTAATTGAACACATCAGACCCATTTGCTTCTCTTTTATCTATTTATATATGTATTTTATTTTTATTAAATTTTTTCCTGAGTGAACTAGAAGTCTCAACACCTCCCACTTGGCCGACTGATCGAAGATCCAAGGAGGGCACAGTCTCTTGAGTCTCTCAGTGAGAATTTCAAACTAAAGTCCAGTCTTTGTAGGCATTTACAAACAAACATGTATTAACTAAGGAGGTAGGCTCCACCACCTTTCCTCCTACTGAGTGTAGGTTTGCCCTTGAAGCACTCAGTTGCCTCCCAGGGTTACCCGCTAGCTAAGCAAAGAACACAGAGCCACAGTCTTTGGGTACCCCATGGCGAGGACTTATCTTACCTCCTCTTGGTCTTCAGCAGGAATCAAGATCACCAACCTCCGCAAATCCCTGCGAATGACGATTGTCGTGTGCATGGTAGAGTCCTTTCTCCGGGCCCTGGGAACCATGGGAGCAGGAAGACCCATGCAGGTTGACAACCCCCTTCTCGTCTGGATATGTTGTAGCAACCCGGCCGAGCCGGAACTGCCCCCTTAGAGCGTTCTGTTCCGCAATCCAGACTACGTCTCCAACCTTGATACTTCTCTCTGCTCGGTGCCACTTGTGTCGTATGAACAAGTTTGGTCCTGCCAGTTCACTCCATTTCTTCCAGAACCTGTCGAGTCCAGCCTGGACAGCCCTCAGTCAGCGCCAAGAGCGAGTTTCCATGTCGATTCCGTGTATGTCTCCTCCCTGTCCGGTGCACCCCAGGATAAGGGAGTTGGGGGTCAAGTACTCCACTGAGTCCTCTTGTTCCTGTGCCCTGGCGTCGATGGGTCGCTCATTAGTCAAGTTGGCTGCAGAGTAGAGAAGGGTCTGGAACTCCCCCCAGGTGTAGCAGCCAGTTGTTCTGCCAAGACTGTTAAGAGCTCTTTTAAGGAGCTTGACAGCTGCCTCTGCTGCTCCATTCCTGTGTGGTGAGTCTGCAGGATGAAAGTCCCATTGCCACTCTGTGCTATTTCTGGCAGCCTTGTCTTCAACGGATGCCTTCTGCAAACAGGCCAGGTGCTTGTGTAGCTCTCTCAGAGCAGGCCTGGTGCCCAATAAGTTTGTGCCTCTGTCTGACCATAGCTTTTTGGGATGCCCCCTCAGAGCAGTGAACCGGGAGTAGGCCTGAAGAAAGCTCTCAGAAGACTGGTCGTCGACGAGATCAGCATGGACGGCTCTGGAAGTCATGCAGCAATACACGACTCCCCAGACCTTTTTCTTGGTTCTTTTCTTAACAGCGTCCCTCACTTCAAAGGGTCCAAAGAGGTCTAGTGTAGTATACTCGAATGGGTTCGCTCTACTGGTACGTTCCTGAGGAAGAGAGCTCATCACTTGCTGGCACAGCCGGGCTCTTTGCTTCTTGCAAGTGATGCACCTGTTGACCACCTTCTTCACTGTCCTCCGACCTTGCACAACCCAGGCCTTTCTTTTAGTGTGCAGTAGTGTGGCGGTTTAAGGTCGTATCCTGAAAGTTCACGCCGTCTTGGGCCGCAAGGGCTAGGTCTTGGAAAGCCGCCGTTCTCTCTCCCACAGATAGCCTGGGGCCCCTCACCTCCCACTTTGCTGAGCTCGAGGCTTGGTAGCTTGTCCTCAGCCAGGATTCTGCAGCTCTTCGAACCCAGGCGATTGTTCCACACAATTTAGACAAGCTACTGAATCGTTCGGGCCCAACAAGGCGCACTAGAGCTACACCCCAGGGCTTCCTCTTTGGCCTCTCTACTGCTGGAGTTGGACCTTGGTCTTTCATCTGCGGTCGCGTTGCGGAGTCTTGCAAGTCTGCCCCAACATCAGTATTGCTGGGGCCTGAGAATTTTTCTGCCTGAGACCTGGTGACTACAGCTGAGAATGCTCTTCTCTGCAACCTTTTAACGTCATCAGCCACGCTGGTCACTATCTCACTGGCCGTCTTCACAGGCCACTCAGCCTCAGGCCAACTCAGGAACTCTGGGCCTTGTTGCCACTCTGACCCTTCATCGAGTTCCTCAGGAGTTGCTCCCCTTGTGATGATGTCTGCTATGTTCAGGTTGCCCTCAATCCACCTCCAGTCTTCCACTGGTCCAGCCTTCTGGATCTCTCCGATGTGGTTAGCGAAGAAAGTTTGGTAGCCATAGCTATCCTTGTGAATTGCTCCCAGGATTGTTTGGCTATCCACGAAGTGGACCCAGCGTGCGACCTTGATGCGGCAGTGCTTTACAAGGTATTTTCTCAGATGGATCGAAAAGACAGCACCACATACCTCTGCCTTAATCACGTCTCCTTTCTGGTTGAGAGGGGTAAGCTTTTGACTCAAACAGCCTCACTACGACCCCATTCTGCATCTCCCAACGGAGGTAGAGCACCACGCCGTAGGAAGCCTCACTCCCATCTGAAACCGTGACTCCCATTGGATGGCCTATGGCTCCAGTTGGTGTGAGGCTTCTTTTGAACCTGATCTGGGCAAGGCTCACATATTCTTAGAGGAGTCTTATGGAAGCCTCCCGTAGTTTTGGTGAGAGTGGGTCATCCCAAGTGTCCTTAACTGGACTGATTATACTCGCTTCTTGGTAAGCTTCTCTCACAAGCATCACCCCTTTCTTCTTTGCTGGTGTGGCAAGACCAATGGGGTTGTAGAATCCAGCGATCTAACTTAGCAGCATCCGACGGGTCAATGGGTTTGGAGTTTTACCTCTGACTTCCTCTTCGCGCAAATCGACTCCTGTCCTCATCTTTCCTCTCTTCTTTGAGACATTTACGGAGGTCATCACACAAAGTTTGTCAGTCTCTGGTTCATAGCCTACTCCAAGTGCTTTGCTTTCTTCGTCCCGCATCTGGTTGGGTAACACCAGCGTTTTGGGCACACTCCGAGTTGTCTTACTGATACTGGCATCAGTTGTGGTTGCGGACCTCCCACTTTGGCCTGATAAGACCCATGGCTTAAGGGAGAAGCCTCCAGCCTTTAAGATCTTTTCCACTCCTTTGGTGATTTTCTCCAGTATCTGCAAGTCATTGTGGGTCGTCAAGATGTCATCCACATAACTATCTTCTACCACAACTCTGCGCTCCTCAACCATGGCTGCAAACTGGGGCAGGTTGGCGGTTTCTCTCATTGCCACCTGGGCGATACAACCAGCACGTTAATCGCCAATGTTGACCCTGACGACAGCAAAGACTTCAATCACCTCCTCAGGATTGTCTCACAAGAGGAATCGATGGAGGTGTACTTCTTTGTCTTCTAGCCAGACAGAATTGTAAAAAAAATTCACATCGCCCAGGGCGGCGTACAACCCAGTCCTGAATCTCAGAAGCACGCCCCTTATCTGATTTAGGACGTCAGGACCCTTGTACAGTAGGTCATTTAAACTTATTCCCATGAATTCTTGGCTACTGTTCCAGACAATTCTTACAGGGGTAGTGGTTGAGTGAGGATTAGGAGCAACTAAATGACTGATATACCACTTAGGTCCCTTCCAGCTCTCGATTTCCTCTTGGGTGACTTTAACGGCAGCCCCTCTTGAGACCATATCGTGGATTTGCTCTCTGTACGCAGCCTTCCATTCCGGCTCCCTCTCCAGTCGTTTCTCAGTGTTTAAAAAGGTCGCTTCCACTGCAAGTCGATTATCAGGCAGCGCTGCGGGGTCTCCTTTCCACGGGTAAGCTGCGTCCCATTGAGGGGATTCACTGTGCTTGTCAGCTTGCACGTAGGTGAGACATTCCTTTATTTTCTCCAAGTCTCTTTCCTCTCCTAGGGTCATTTCCTTGCCTCCAGGGGGGCACCTACCGCATCTGCAGCCACCACACTGAGGATCACAGGCGGCGCCAATACTGTCCCACTTGAACCATTCAAAAACGTATTAGTTTTTTGATTTTTAATATTTTTTTGATTTTTTGATTTTTTTCTTTTTTTTCTTTGGGGGGAATGGATCAGCTTAATATTGCAGATAGATTGTATCTTCTATCAATGTAATTGTCTGCATCACTTCCAATCCCCCATGTTAATTATTTTTTTATATATATATTTTTATATATATACTCCCCTTTATTACTTTAAAAAAAAAAACGTATTTGTTGGTAGTTGCAGTGTTTCGGAGGATTGCGTCTTCTTCTTCCACCGAAACTCCACTGGGTCCTTCCGTCTTCACGAGAATCTCTTTGTACGCCCTTGAAGCTGTTCTCATTGACCTAGCAAAATGTGTTTCAGACCTGTGCACTGCTAGGTCTATCACTTCAAAGAGGTCAGGATGCGTTCCACCAACAGTCTTCCCAAGGGGGCCATCCCAGAGGACGAGGTCTCCAACTACACTGACTGGCTGTGGGACCAGGCGACCCTCCCTGTGGCTAATCAACAGGTCGATCTTTTCGGGCCGGACCAAGTCCTTGAGTGGAAAATTTGGAAAGAACTTCTGCAATTTCTGTGGTGTGACAGCTTGGTTCACCTTCGCAACATCTTCCAAGCCGTAACAAAGGAGTTTGTGCTCTGCTACTATACCTTTGGGAGTTTTTACTCTCTGCCTCAGGGTATACTTCTTGGTAGTAATGGTTTTCTCCATCCCTCCAACACCTTGGACAATCAACTTAATGTTCTCACCATTTAGCTTGAGACGCTCTGCTGCTTTATTAGAGATATAATTAGTATCTGAAGCGAGATCAATCAACGTACCAACTAGCTGGCCAGAGTTTGTCGTCACATCCAACAGCTTCATTATGACAGGGCACTCTTTTGGCTCAAAACCAGTGCTAGCACACACTTTTGTCGTGATCTTATTTGAAAAGGCTTCTTTGAACTCTGCTCGCAGCTCTATAGAAAGTTTGGCAAGGAGCTCCTCCTGTTTGTTGGTTAGTCCAAGCCCCCTTTTCCCCAATTTTGCATCGCTCTGCTCTCCGCTCTTTTCCTCTTTCTTCTTGATCTGTGGCTTTGGACAGAGCAAGTAATTGTGGTCTGAAGAGCCCTCTTTCTGACAGTCATCCTTTGAGCATAGATACTTTGTGTGCAGCCGCCATTGTCACCATGAAGGCGCAAGCACTTAAAGCATGCTCCTGCTCTCCTAAACTGAGCCTTCTTGCCTGTCAGATTGAGCTTCTTGAAGACCTTGCAGGCGAACAGCCTACCTCCGTGCTCGTTGTCTCCACATGTGATGCATGAGCTTGGTTGAGAGCCCTTTAGGGTGTTTCCTGATGTGGCTCTGGTGAATGCCCTCCTTTCTTTTTTCTTTTCGCTTGACCTCTCAGTATTGTCCGCCGGGCTAGGCTGTAGCTGGTCTAGTTCCTCGAGAATGTCCTCCTGCTTTTTCAAGTATTGCAGTAGACAGTCGAAGTGGTTGCGTGGTGAAAACCCGCTTCCAGGGTCATTTTTGTGTGTTAACCACTTTTCTTTCAGGGAGTCAGGAAGCTTACTTTCAATCGACTGCACAACCACTCGGTTCTTTACAGCATCTTCCTCCCCTAAGACTTGTAGGTCACGAAGAGTTCTCTCCACAGCTTGAATCAGTTTGATTGTCTTCCTCGGATGGTTTCCTTTGATGGGGAAAAGTCCTTGCACTTCTTGTGCAATCAGCAGCACTATTTTCAGCTTATTTCCGTACTTGTTGTGCAGGAGCCTGAACACATCATTGGCGAATCCACAGCTGGACAATACGAGGTCCCTCTTGAATTTTTCATCTAGCGTTCCCAAGAGATGGAATTTCCTCACATTTTCCAATCCATGAGTGTCTCCCAGACGTTGCAAGTCCTCCCATTCAGCTTTCCAGCGGTAGTAATCCCTCATATTACCAGCAAACATGGGCAAGCGTGCACGTTCTAGGCTGATCTGGGGCCTGTAGTTGTAAGCCCCAACTGGCTCCTCCTGATTTTCACTTTTCCCAATTTCTCTTCGTCGTCGGATTGAGAACCGCCTTTCCATGCCCACTCATCCCACAGTTTTTCACGCCTTTTCTTCAACTTCCGGATCTGGTCCTTTGACTCTGTTGCCTTGGATCGAGGGATCAAATCTTTCCACTCATCCAATCCTCATTTGAAGTTGTAGACCTCCCGTTCCAGGTTCCTATGAATCAATTCACATTCCCTCCTGGTCATATGGTGGTGATCGGTTGCCTCGGCCTGGTCCAGTGAGGGTGGTAATTTCCGCCTCAACGAACCTTGTCCAGAAGCTGATCAGGATGATTTGTTCAGTTTCATCAAACTTACAGTCACATTCTGCTGTTTTTCCGTCAATGTTTTCCGCCTTCTTTTTGACTTCATCGTCGTCCACTTCTCTCAGGGCCGTGGCATACTCAAACCCTGCATCTCTGACTCTGGAGTGATCCACTTTAAAGTTCCTCCACTCACTTCTCATTTAACTTTCCCCCAGTGCACTAGCTCTGGAGGCGAGGTAATTGGCTCTTCTAGTGAACGCAGTCTGGGCTGCTGACCGCTTCTGTTTTAGCCTCTCCAGCTCCTCCTCTGATGCTGCCATCTTGCCAACTTTTCTAGCGTTTAACTCAAGTTCAAGTGTTTTCCGCCAACTGGGTTTTAAGTAGTCCTTTAACTGTAGACTCTATCCTCTTCTTGGCTTTCACTCATTAATGATTTGCCTAGTAAGTCAGCAGATGAGCAGACAGCTTTATGGGTGGACTGTTAGCTTATCAGTCTCATGACGAATGTTCTAGTCCTTGCATTATCCATGTAAAAGGAGAACCGTGGTTTATGACTGTTCGGATTTTTCGTTATTTAGCCCTCCGAAAAGGCTCACGAGGAAGCACACAATGTCATGACTCGTGTTTTGTCCTTAATTTTATTTTAAATTAAATGACCTCAGGTCATAAACCTGAAATACAACAAACAAATAATGACAATATATTATTCTAATATATAATGTAAATATATTATTCAAATAATATAATATAATAATAATGTAAATAATGAAAATCAAATAAGCCTGCAACACCATCAACAAATGTGGCAAATCTGGTTTAAAACAACATTGACTACATCACCCAGAATGCCTAGCGCCCGAGGAGCATGCGCACAGTGACTCTGCCGTCACTGGTTGCTATGGACGCTGTCACAGGACATGGAACCCATGCCACCACATGCCTCGTCCAAAGGATTTACACACGCACAAACGCAACATAACGCGGCACTCCACCATGGATCACCGAACCAAACCACCACCGCCACCAGAAACCAGAAGAGTGCTCCGAACAATCAGCACAACGCAAATGGCTGATAATGATAGCCTAATGCTATACAACATCTGGGTCGCTGAGCTACCGCACCCAGCGAGCTACAAGTTACTCTCGGCCAACTAACACCGACACAGTGAGGTAAACGTTCAGTGCTCAAACATATAAGTGGTGACTTAAACATTAATTAACACACACACACACACACACACACACACACACACACACACACACACACACACACACACACACACACACTCACAAGCTGTCCTAAATAGTTTTCGGGGCCAGACTGGACATGCGCTTTAGATAGCCCACTTCCCAAACACACAGACACGTGGATAAGGTAAAGTTTGTATTTTGTTTAGTTTCGGTTCAGGATATCAGACTGATGCACTACCATGGCTGCCTTCAACAGTTATCATAAGGACCAGACCTCTTGGTATACTGCATTGTCTTGCCTTTCCTCAGCTGTATAAGAATTCCCCTCCCCCCCCCTTCACAGTGCCAGGTGCCGCCCCCAGGAAGCTAGAGGTAGTGGCTGTAAACTCAACGGCCATCAGGGTGACGTGGAAGCCACCCCTCCCAGGGAAGCAGCACGGCCAGATCAGGGGCTACCAGGTCATCTTCTCCAGGCTGGAGAACAGGGAGCCACGCGGTCAACCCAACATCATGGACGTAGCTCTACCTGAGGCTCAGGTACTAGTTTGGATCTTTCTGATTCAGAGGGGTTGGGTTAAATGCGGAAGACACATTTCAGTTGAATGCATTCAGTTGTACAACTGACTAGGTATCCCCCTTTCCCTTTCCCTTTCTGTCTGTTTTTCTCTCTCTCTTTCATCCTCTCTCTTTCATCCTCTCTCTTTCTCTCTCTCTCGATCTCTCTCTCTCTCTTCCTTCCTTTTCAATTTGTTTAATTATGTCTTATCTCTATCTCTCACGATCCCTCTCTCCCCCCTTTTCATTCCCTGACTTTCAGTTTATTTCATTATCTGTTTTATCTCCAACTATCGCTCGATCCCTCTCTGTCTTTCATTCTCTCTCTCTCTCTCTCTCTCTCTCTCTCTCTCTCTCTCTCTCTCTCTCTCTCTCTCTCTCTCTCTCTCCTCTCTCTCTCTCTCCTCTCTCTCCTCTCTCTCTCTCTCTCTTCACCCCTCTCTCTCTTTTCCAATTGCACTCAAAGCCATTTCCCCTTAATTCCCCTTAGTTGGGGATTATTGTACTCTAACAGGGTTCTATGCTAATGTTAACAGTTGCAAAATATTTCATGTATGTTTTACATCAGAAAGGCTTAGCGATCCTGTTCCTTTATAGATCCTGCTCCTTTGATGGCATATTTTATTGTTATGTTTATTATGTTACTAGTTTTTGCTTAGTAGCCAGAGCATTGATGCTGCGCAGGTGGTCATGTGCTAAATGCAAGGACAGCATGGATATTCTTGAAAAAAGTGAAATTTGGAAATAGAGCTGCACCTCTTGAATTTTGAGAGTTATGTGACAAAGGTAAGTGGCATAGAAACTGCAGAATTGGCTTTTTCTGATATTATATGGAAATCCAAATGTCTGACCTGCATGTGACTCTGAAAGAGGATTTGATAAAGTGATGCTCCTTCATTTTAATTTTTTTTTAGTCATTTAGCAGACGCTCTTCTCCAGAGCGACTTACAGTTAGTAAGTGCATACATTTTCATACTGGCAATACGTGGGAATCGAATCCACAACCCTGGCATTGCAAGCGCCATGCTCTACCAACTGAGCTACACGGGGGGCTCCTTTCCCTGCATCTGTCAATTACAAGATGCGCCCATCTTTTCATGTACAATTTGACAATTGCAAATATTGTCACTCATCAGATCATTGTAATTTTAATCTTGTCTATAGGCTATCTCTTATTATGTGTGAAATTGGTTTCAGTATAGTTTAGGTGTAGTTTCAATGAGCAGTAGGCTGGCATTGTTTGTTTCCCACTCATCAACTTGGATAGAGTCAAGGATATGTTTTGCAATATTCTAAAGGCTGCAAAACGTAGCATGTTTTCGTTTCCCTTACAATTAATTTGATTAGTAATGGCGTTATAGTAAATAACAGCCTATTTTTACAAAGTATAATATAAAAGAGAATGGTATCAACCCGCAAGGCACGTGGTGAAATTATTAACATGAGTGCCAACGCTGATAATTAGGCATAGCACAAACTCATCAAACTATTGTTGTTCTAAATTAAATCCATCTCTTCACCCTCATCATTCAGTTAGGCCTAATATAAATGTGATTGTGAAGTAACTTGCCCAATTGTCGCCCATTCCATCCATTGTCATTCATTCAGTGGCCTGGCATCGTGTGCGTCCCTTCGCTCATCAACTCGGATAGTCAAAGATATGTTTTGCATTATTCTAAAAGCCTACTGCAACACCTAGCATGTTTTTTGTTTGCCTTACAATACATTTTATGAGTAATAGTGTTATATTAAATAAACAGTCCCATAACAGCTTATTTTTATAAAGTAAAACTTAAAAGAGAATGGTATCAAATCAAATCAATCAAATCAAATTGTATTTGTCACATGCATCGAATGCTTACTTACAAGCCCTTAACCAACAATGCTGCATTTTTGTAAAAGTAAGAAAATCTTAAATAATAATAATAATTATAATAATAATAATAATAAACTAAAGTAAGAAAAAAAAATAACACAATAAAATAACAATAACGAGGCTATATACAGGGGGTACCGGTACCGAGTCAGTGTGCGGGGATACGGGTTAGTCCAGGTAATTGAGGTCATATGTACATGTAGGTAGGGGTAAAGTGACTATGCATAGATAATAAACAGCGAGTAGCAGCAGCGTAAAAAAGGGGGTCAATGTAAACAGTCCAGGTAGCCATTTGATTAACTGTTTAGCAGTCTAATGGCTTGGTGGTAGAAGCTGTTAAGGAGCTTTTTGGACCTAGACTTGGCGCTCCGGTACAGGGTTGCCGTGCGGTAGCAGAGACAACAGTCTATGACTAGGGTGGCTGGAGTCTTTAACAATTTTTAGGGCCTTCCTCTGACACCATCTGGTATAGAGGTCCTGGATGGCAGGAAGCTTGGCCCCAGTGATGTACGCACTATCCTCTGTAGCGCCTTGCTGTCGGAGGCCGAGCAGTTGCCATACCATGCGGTGATGCAACCAGTCAGGATTCTCTTGATGGTGCAGCTGCAGAACTTTTTGAGGATCTCAGGGCCCATGACAAATAATTTCAGTCTCATGAGGGGGAATAGGCATTGTTGTTCCCTCTTCACGACTATCTTGGTGTGTTTGGACCATGATAGTTTATTAATGATGTGGACGCAAAGGAACTTGAAGCTCTTGACCCGCTCCACTACAGCCCCATCGATGTGAATGGGGGCGTGCTCGGCCCCCCTTTTCCTGTTGTCCACGATCAGCTCTTTTATCTTGCTCACGTTGAGAGGGAGGTTGTTGTCCTGGCACCACACTGCCAGGTCTCTGACCTCAACCTGCAAGGCCACAAGGTCATATTATTTGCTGCTGATAAATAGGCATAACACAAACTCATCATTACACTATTGTCTTTCTAAATTAAATCAACCACTTCACCCTCCTTATCATTCAGTTAGGCTTAATTTAAATTCAATTGTGAAGGTGGATTCGCCCATTCATCCATGTCATTAATTCAGTGAGAAGAGAGAGACGCATTGGCGCCTGGCTGGGTACCAATGTCATACTGCTTATTGTCTTGGCGGGTTAAGTTAGGAATAGGTGTGAAAAAAAAACAGGTAAAAAGGCTCTAAATACTTTTCTGTTTGTGATTTAAAAATTCTGAAAAATGATTAATGTAAAATACAAACATTTAGGAAAAGTCAGGGAAGGAGAAGGACATAGCTTTTTTTACGCTGATTTTTAAAATTTACAAAATCAAATGTCAGTGGCCATTGGCCATTGGTCTATGGCGGTTCGAGTGTTAATACGTTACTGCACTGCCTTGTTCCAAATTAGATATATTCTCTCTCTCCGCTACCCCAACCAACTGCTTTACCACGTTGCATTAATGCAGGGAGATGTGAAAGAATGACTCTGAGCTGAGAGAGAGAGAGAGAGAGAGAGAGAGAGAGAGAGTGAGAGAGAGAGAGAGAGAGAGAGAGAGAGAGAGAGAGAGAGAGAGAGAGAGATGGATGGATGAGAAGATTGTAATCCTTAAGAGGGATTCGCAGATTCATTAATATCTCTCTCCTCCTCCTTCCCTTCCTCTTCCTCTTCCCCTCCTCACACCATTGAGCCATTATCCCAGTAGCAGAGTGTTGCGTGCAGGTCCGTCACCCCTGGTTGACTCGTCACACCAGATTCTCACACACAGTGTGCTGAGGGTGTGTGTGCATGCCTGCTTTTTATACAATCCCTTGGTTTTTTTCCACTGTTCTCAAATTTTTCCACCGCTCCCTTCATCTCTCCATTCAAGTAATCGACTCTAATGCAACAACTTGTTGCCTGTTAGCGCCTGTCAGCTTCCCAGCTAACAACATTACGTTCCAGGACGTGACCAGAAAGTTATTTTAGTCCCTACATAAGTAATGATAAAGTTATTGTGAAACATTATTTCTACGTAGCTGTGGTGTCCGCTGACAAAACTTACGTCCCAAGTCTTTTCAGGACGTAGAAATGTGGGGGATTTTAAACAGCTAAATAACGTTATTCAGTAGCGTTATAAGAGATGTCCTTGAATCTTCCCTGAACGTGCACACTGTAACGTGCCTTATTGCTACTGTAGGTACCCACTGACGAAAGTTACGTTCCCAGTGGTTACCAGAAACTGCATTTTGTGGGGCTCTCAATGTACTTTGACGTTTAGCGACGTTATGGCGTGCCTGCGTCCGGCCTGCCACAGAAGTCGCTACAAAATTACGTTCCAGGACGTGACCACAAAGTTATTTTTGTCCCTACGTAAGTCATGATAACGTTATTGTGAAACGTGCCTTCTACGTAGCTGTGGTGTCCACTGACAAAACTTACGTCCCAAGTCATTTCAGGACGTAGAAATGTGGTGGATTTTAAACAGTTAAATATGTGTATTTTTAGGTCAACCTCATAACGTCACTAAACGTCAGAAAGTACGTTGAGAGCCCCATAAAATGCAGTTTCTGGTAACGTAACTTTCGTCAGTGGGTACCTACAGTAGCAATAAGGCACGTAACTGTGTGATGGGACAAGGACATCCCGGCTGGCCAAACCCTCCCCTAACCCGGACAATTGTGCATCACCTCATGGGTCTCCCGGTCGCGGCTGGCTGCGACACAGACAGGTATCGAACCAGCATCTGTAGCAACGCAGCTTGCACTGCGATGCAGTGTCTTAGACCACTGCACCACTCGGGAGGCCCCTTAAGACACGTAATTTCATCTACCCTGAACATATACTTAGTATCCTGTCAGTAGGTGTCCACTGACGAAATATGCAAAATTCCAGAAAATACGTTATTTATTTTATTTTTACTTCAACTGTATCACAATAGATTCGGAAACAAAATCACAGCAATAAGCTCACAAAATAACAAGTCAGTAGAAACATGAACACTGCACTCCAATCAAGAACTGTAAAACTGCTTAACGCTAAAAGTGAATAACTATGTAATGTTTATTCAGGTGCTGCTGCTCCATCCTCATCCACTGTCGCTTCCTCGACCCACTCCTGGAAGTCACAATAACACAAATTGGTCATTATTTTCCATAAACAAATTATCAAAATCCTGGTTTGACGTCGACTCCCTACTACATTCCTTTTGTACTAGCATAATAATTTACCTATACTGACCAACTGGATTAAAGTGAAGTAAAAAATATAAAAAAATTAATCAAGTGTTATTTTTAATCATACCTTTCTCTTACTCTTGAGCCGAGCTGGTGCATGTTTGAGAGCGTCTGCTATTTTGTCATCTACCTCTTGGTAGGTAGCCTTGGGGTGTGCTTTCAGGGACGCTCCTATGTTGTGAAAAAGAATTGAAATGGTACATTCCATGTCATATCACTACTTTTCCACCTATGCTGGCTGAGACAGAGGTTGGGTATTGTCCCTCTCTTCCCTCATAGGCAGTTTTTGCCATGAGACCTCTTTCCTTCACCTTTCCTTTGTCCCCTCTCTCCGATCTTAGCAGCTGGTAGGATTTCACATTTAGTTTGTAACTGCCTTGTTACTGATTTAATTCATTTGAAATAACTACACATTTGACTTACCATCACTTGACCAATAATACTATCTACTAATTTACTTATTTGTGACAGCATCATAGATTGATAGGTCATTAAAGGCCCTCTTCCCTTTCCTGCCCTTCAAGGAGTAGCCTGTCCACAGCTCCTCTGTTCCAATTTCTCATCATTCGTCTGATTCCTGAACCCAGGTCCAGGCCACAGCAGAGGGTCAGGTATCAGATCTGATAAAAAAAAGTAATAATAATAATTCCCACTCATTTGTGTGTTCCTCAGCTAGAACAGCTGGCCATACAGTTCTGATTGATAGTCATGAGAAATCATTTTTGTAGTGTATCATGTAATCATGGGCTAAAACTTGTGTAAACAGGCAGAGGGCTGATCGTTTCTTCTTAAGATAAGTTAAGTGTTAATTGGGAAATCAATCCAAATTCTAAATAGGCATATGGCATATATGACAACTGCATTTCATTGACATTAAGATATTTGGATTCAATAATATTGCAGGTTGCAATCTTCTCTCAAATCTGGACGCATTCAAGGGGCTCTTGATAAACAGCTAACTTATTTTTGTCAATTGCTGCAAAAAAATGTGTAGATTTCCCATTTTATACAAACATAAATTTTTAATGGCCATCCCTACCATTTTCTTTCGATAGTGGGAGTCTTTAAGTGTTTCACAGATATCCTTCAATTCCTCATTTGTTTCTGCAGGGTTTTGCAGCATTTCAAGTTGCCCCAAGGATTCCGATTCCTTTGGCTGCCGGGCCTCTATGGCCTCCATAACTTGGTTCAGAGCAGTCTTGAACTCTGTACGGCTCATCTCCAGTTTCACCATTATCCTCATCTCCACTGCTTGAAGATCTGCAAAATAATAATGACTCAACAGTTTAACTGCAAGCAGCGTGACGATTGAAGCCATGAGTACCAGGGAGGACATGTATCAAGGCCATGTGAAATACCTCGATCAGAATATCCACCCTTCATATATATTAGTAGTATTGATAACCATATAGCTGCTGACAGCCATACAATTTGGAATTGATGTTGATAATACAAGAGAAGCAACATTTTGTAACATATAGGCAAACAAAATATACCTTTAATGTATCCAGCGGGCTCATCAAGCAGGGATGGCAGCTCTTGGTCTAATATATAAGTAAAAAAATCATGCTGTTATTTAAACTTTCTACATGTACGATTTCGAGATCAAAATCTTGATGGCTAAAGAAACCTGATTCTGATGCTCTGTCTTGGCCAGCTTCTTCCTGGCTGCCACTTGGACTAACTGAGAAAACAGAAGGAAAACAATTAAGACATACTTTGCATGCTTTTGAAACTGGCACAGAACCAAAAGTGAAGGGATGTCAGTCAGGAGCTCAATGGGAAGGTTAATGAATCCCAACAAAAATAAATGCTAAGCATAATTTTTTGTTTTAAATAATGCTTTTAGTTTGATGGTAAATACATACAGATATTTACAAACATGGCATCACACTTGTGTTTTACCCCAGAAGAATAGGGTGATTTCACTACTGTTGTAAATATAAGTTTCACCCATACACAGCACCACAAGTATTTGGAAAGTTCTAACAGTATGCACAAAGTAGTAATAAGACTTGAAATAACCTAATATGCAAAAATGTGATGGTAGTTGTATTCTATTGAGTGGCTTTGAAAGGTTTGTAAAGCTATAATACTTCATACAATTCAATTGTTTACCCACTTTAAAACTGCTCTCCTGACCATCAGTTCACACACACACACACATACACACACACACACACACACATACATACACACACACACATGCATACACACACACATACATACATGCATACACATACACACACATAGGCTGCATTCCTTAGTTATCGCCGTCCTCACAATATCCTGCACCATATTTCATACTCTTTAAAAAGCCTAACAGTTTCTCTCCTCCCTAAATTGGGAGGCCTCTTTATCTTGGTTTCTCAGTTGTCTGTAGACAGTTCTCCTTGTCCTTTGTTGTCTGGCCTAACTCTTACTCACATTGCTAAATAGTAGCACAATGTCAAAATCTTTACTGGTCCTACACTCACACATTACCAGGTAGTAGATTCTAACACATCTCACTAAGAAAGTACTAATCATACTTAAAACAAGAACATTTCACAACTATATTTAAAGGTGGAACATTTAGTCATTACTTTTAACCTGTATATATTTTAATTTCTATATCAATGTTGTTCTTCATCAGGACCTAAGAACACGATTACTGAATACAATTACTGAACACGATAACACAGACTGTGGTTACACGCGGCACTATCCAAGTAAAGTAGCTAGGCTAAACTATATATTAGCCAACTGGCTAATTAGCTAACTGGCAAGCTTCCTCGCTAGTTAGATAGCCTGACATCATCAAAATGTCTTTATCTGTGGAGCTAGGAGTACGCTAACTTACTTGGTTTGAATAGTACACGCTGGATAACTTACCTTCCGTAAAAACTTCCAAGAGGTGAACTGTGTTCGGTCAGTCGGAGTCGATGGCATCTTCGCTGTTCAGCTGTGTTGTTTCACTTTTACCAATTAGTACCGTTGGTGTTTCTTTCTGGCTCCAGCCTCAGTATTGTTAGTTGCCACACCCACTTTTATATTTGCAATGACGGATAATGGAGTCAAAAGGAATATTCAGGATGAACCGTCGTCAGGCCACCACTACTGCTAGCTGCTTTATAATGATTTTTAAAAATTATTATTATTGTTATATGCTACATTCATAAATTAATATACTAAAAAAATATTATTTGTATGTATTGTTCCCTCTTACATAGACCTATACTGAAGTCAAATTACATTATGAATTTCCATACATTTATTAAATTGGTAGAATTATGGAAACATTTATTGCGGAGGGGAAGAGCTGGACCCACTTCCTTTACTCCAAGCACAAGTATGCTGGCCCCAATATATTGGGTTCTGAAGTACTTATTTAGAACGTAACAAATGTTCCTACACACTTAGAAAGACAATGTTACAAGTGTACCACCACTTGACTTACAGACGACGTTCCAAAATGTATTTCTATCATTGCGATTGTAACGTTATATGAAGATAAACCATAGCTCTAAATGTAACGTTATGAAATATTCCTAGGATATCTCCAAAATGACATGATATTCAGAACCTTTCATGGACTACCAAGGAACGTTTTTAATGTTCCCATGATGTCTGTATAGCGACCGGATATGTATAACCTCTATAATACTTATTAGAAACGTTATGAATGTCCCAAACGGGCTATGACATTCAGTACCTCTGGAAGACTTAAGGGGAATGTTACAAATGTCTCAGTTACGTTCCTTGCTACCTGGGTTACTACAACACTGGCTTGTGGTAGTGGGTAGGTGGTTGATACACTGGCTGGTGGTAGTACTGTAGGTAGGAGGTTGATTTCATAACATAAGATAGAGTGTCTGACTCACGTCAGCGTACACTACGTAACACTATGGCTAAGTCCCAAATGGTACCCAGTTCCCTATGTAGTGCACTACTTTTAACCAGAGCCCTATGAGTCCTGGTGAAAAGTAGGGCACTACATAGGGAATATGGTGCCATTTGTGACGCACCCTAAAACACAAACACCCTTAGTAGCTGACAAAACCTATTTTCTTTTTAGTTCACACATCTATCTGGAGTAGGGTAACTACGTTACATATGTTTTAGATTTATGGTGAAATTCATTCTCCTACACCTTCTTTCCCACACTGGTAATGACTAAGCTTTTAAATCTTATAAAGCCAACTTTGGTCTTTGAGGGTCTCTCTCTCTCTCTCTCTCTCTCTCTCTCTCTCTCTCTCTCTCTCTCTCTCTCTCTCTCTCTCTCTCTCTCTCTCTCTCTCTCTCTCTCTCTCTCTCTCTCTCTCGCTCCCTCTCTCTTTTTTTATCTGTGCTAGCTAAAACACAGGGAGGAGAGGAGAGTGTTAAAGTTCTTCCCAAATGGAACCCTATTCCCTATATAGTGTACTACTTTTGACCATGGGCCCATAGGGCTTTGATTTGTGAAACAGCTTAAGTGTGTGGGAGGGTTAAGCTGTTTTCTTTTGAAGCAGGGAGCCCAGCCCACACATCGCCCTCATTGCCGCAATGTTACCAGGCTCTGTCGTAGCCGGCCGCGACCGGGAGACCCATGGGGCAGCGCACAATTGGCCCAGCGTTGTCCAGGGTAGGGGAGGGAATGGCCGGCAGGGATGTAGCTCAGTTGGTAGAGCATGGCGTTTGCAACGCCAGGGTTGTGGGTTCGATTCCCACGGGGGGCCAGTATGAAAAAAAAGAATTTAAAAAAGAATAATGTATGCACTAACTGTAAGTCGCTCTGGATAAGAGCGTCTGCTAAATGACTAAAATGTAAATGTAAAAATGTTACCAGTTTGCTACACATTACCCAGTTCCTACTATTATTATTTTTTTTATTCACCTTTATTTAACCAGGTAAGCCAGTTGAGAACAAGTTCTCATTTACAACTGTGACCTGGCCAAGATAAAGCAAAGCAGTGCGATAAAAACAACAGCAACACAGAGTTACATATGGAATAAACAAAACATACAGTCAATAACACAATAGAAAATCTATATACAGTGTGTGCAAATGTAGTAAGTTATGGAGGTAAGGCAATAAATAGGCCATAGTGCACGGAAGGAGTGTTGTATGGCATTGAAGCTCATTTGGAGGTTTGTTAACACAGTATCCAATGAAGGGCCAGATGTATACAAAATGGTGTCGTCTGCGTAGAGGTGGTTCTGAGAGTCACCAGCAGCAAGAGCGACATAATTGATATACACAGAGAATAGAGTCGGCCCAAGAATTGAACCCTGTGGCACCCCCATAGAGACTGCCAGAGGTCCAGACAACAGGCCCTCTGATTTGACACATTGAACTCTATCTGAGAAGTAGTTGGTGAACCAGGCGAGGCAGTCATTTGAGAAACCATGCTATTTAGTCTGCCAATAAGAATGCGGTGATTGACAGAGTCAAAATCCTTGGCCAGGTCGATGAAGACGGCTGCACAGTACTGTCTTTTATCGATCGCGGTTATTATATTGTTTAGGACCTTGAGCATGGCTGAGGTGCACCCATGACCAGCTCGGAAACCAGATTGCATAGCGGAGAAGGTACGGTGGGATTCGAAATGGTCGGTGATCTGTTTGTTAACTTGGCTTTCAAATACTTTCGAAAGACAGGGCAGGATGGATATAGGTCTGTAACAGTTTGGATCTAGGGTGTCACCCCCTTTGAAGAGGGGGATGACCGCGGCAGCTTTCCAATCTCTGGGGATCTCAGACGATACGAAAGAGAGGTTGAACAGGCTAGTAATAGGGGTTGCGACAATTTCGGCGGCTAATTTTAGAAAGAAAGGGTCCAGATTGTCTAGCCCAGATGATTTGTAGGGGTCCAGATTTTGCAGCTCTTTCAGAACATCAGCTGTCTGAGTTTGTGTGAAGGAGAAGCGGGGGGGGGGGTGCTACAGGAGGGGGGGGGGGGGGTGCTACAGGATGCAAATTTCTGTTTGAAAAAGCTAGCCTTTGCTTTCCTAACTGATTGTGTATATTGGTTCCTGACTTCCCTGAAAAGTTGCAAATCGCGGGGGCTGTTCGATGCTAATGCAGTATGCCACAGGATGTTTTTGTGCTGGTCAAGGGCAGTCATTATTACCATGACCAATTCCCAGTACTATCCTCTACCACCACTATCATTATCATCACCAGTCTAGCTTACCCACCCAGCAGCACTATTATTACAATTACCAGTCTAGCATACATTTATCAGTACCATCCCATTCCACTACCTATTCACCCCCTACCACACTCCCACCACTGTCATTACATCACCAGTCTGCCATACAGAACCCAGTAACCCTTCCCAGTAGCATTACCATTACCAGCCAATATCCACCCTTTCGACCAGTATCATTAATGGTGTGTGTGTGTGTGTGTGTGTGAGAGAGAGATAGACAGTGCTATGTTTCAGTGGCTCTGTGGCCTTGCCTGCCTCAGCTGACTGAAGGGAATAAAGAAGGGAAGGAGAGAATTGAGAAAAAGAAGAGATGCATCATCTCAGTCTGTTTATCTCAATCAATCACAACACCTCTCCTTCCATCCTCTCCTCCACATCTCTTCTTCCATCCTTCCCTCTTTCTCTTCATTTTAGAACCACGTGGCATACGTATCAGCCCGTGTCATCACATTTGCATTCATCCTCCTGCAAATTACTGCGTTCCTTTCGTTCCACAAAACAAGTCCTCTCTCTCTTTCTCTCTCTCTGCCTTCGTCTTTCTCTCCTTCTCTCTCTCTCTCTCTCTGTCTCTCTCTCTCTCTCAAAACAAGGCTGACAGTAATGACACGTATCAGTCTCTTCAGCATCGTCTTGTCATCTCAACTATAAATTAGGTGATAATTTATACTTATTTATTTTGGGAGAGTTTTAATTTTTTCAGATAATCATTTATAATATAAACAGATTAAGCTTCAGATGAGATAAACAGTCTAGTGCAGCAGAGTTAGTTCATGTCCCAAATGGCACCATATTTGTTATATAGTGCACTAATTTTGATAGGGCTCTGGTCAAAAGTAGTGCACCATGTAGGGAATAGGGTGCAATTTGGGATAGAGCCTTAATGTGTTCAGTACTATACAGTGCTGTCATACCACGCAGAGCCGAGAGTCAACAAATTAAGCAATTAAAGGGATACTTCAGGATTTGATGTCTCTGCATCCAGTCTGAAGGAAGTTAGAGGTAGTTTCGCGAGCCAATGCTAACTAGCGTTAGCGCAATGACTGGAAGTCTATTAGCATGTTAGCAGTTACCATAGACTTCCGGTCATTGTGCTAACGCTAGTTAGTAACTTCCTTTAAATGGTATCCACGAGTTAATCTGACTCTAGGGAAGTTGAGAAAGGGGTACATTGCCAACATGCTGAAGTATCCATTTAAGCCAAGCAACTGTTATTCAGCTAAGAGAGTTAAGCAGCAGCTGTTTTTAATGGGAAGCTTCAACGTTGTTGTCGTTGTCATCAGATATGTCCCAAATGGCACCTTATGGGCCCTGGTCAAAACTAGTGCACTATATAGGGAATAGGGTGACATTTGGCTTTTACCTATCGCAGTTTGGGATGCCTAAGGGGTGTGACTCAGTTGTTAGGAAGACGTGTTGTGAGCTGCGCTGCTTTAGGATATAGACCCCCGGGTAGATATACAACCATTGTTTACTGTGTAGCTTACAGTAGATCTACTGGGTGTGCAGGCTTTTTTGACTGAGCGCTGCCTTCTGAGCTTTAGCAGTAGCCGTAGCAACTGTTGCAGCAGTTTTCGTAAGCGGAGGTCCTCCTGGGTTTGGGGTTTGATGTGTCAGGGCTAACGTAGCAGCATAGCATGGTAGCAGCAGGTGTATGCAACAGGGCTGGGCTAGTGTAGCAGCGTAGAAGGGGGTAAGAGGATTTCATGGTCGGCACCATCTGAGCCCCGGAGCTTCAAACAGCGCTTTCACTTCTCCTAGGATCCCCTCAGCATGGAGAGAAAGTTTCCAATATACTCTTTAGTATATACAGTATTAAAGGTAGAATGAGCAATATGACGTAGATACAGAAAGTAAAGAGCATACTGGGTCTAAGAGCGTTGAAGTGGAGGCTCAACTTCTCTGCTGTTTTGGTGCCCTGGTTACCACGCTGTCAACAGCGTGAAGCGAACCCGTGCACATGCACAGATACAGTGTGTGACTGTGTGAGAGCGAAGTAAACATATTCATATATAATGAAAATAGTTGTCTTTCTCTTGAGGATACATTTCAGCCCAGGGTCTGTGTGGCTCAGCGTTGTTCTCTGAATGTCTTCATCCTTCGTGAGCAGCTATAGCAGAGCTGTAACAAGGCAGTGCATCCACTACTAAACCGCCCCAATGTACTTCACCACATATAAAGAAGTCCCTGACTATTGTCAGTCATTGTTACCACTTCAAACAGAGGCCTTTCCCCTCTTTCATTCAACATTCTCTCTTAATCTCTTTCCACTCTCTCTTTCTTTCTTCCTCTCTCACCTCCATTACTCTCTCTGTCCTTCTCTCTCCCTTTTTCTAATGCATGACAACACTGTTGACACCCACATTTGTCTGTCTGTCTGTCTGTAGAGGAGAAAAAGGCAGACATCTTTTTTTCCTGATGTGTTGTCTCTTACTCATGTCTCCATCCCCCTCTTTCTACCGTCTGTCTCTCTCTCTCTCTCCCATCAGTGGAATATTGAGGAGTCCACAGAGTATGTGAGTAACGTTTGTGTGTACAGTGTGCTGGTTGGTTTGGTTTGTGCCGGGAAGGTTCTTCCTCTCCCCATCAGCCGCGTTGGGACAGTCGGGAATGCTGAGTGTGTGTTTAAGTGTGTGTTTCTGTGTGTGTGTGTGTGTGTGTGTGTGTGTTCCTCTCTCTTTTGGGCTTGCTGATAACCACTCAATACTTTAACCCCATCATAACCCAATGAAAGACAAGGACGGTGATGACTAACTGTATGATTTGCTCAGTGTGTGGTTTTTGACATCTATGTGATATGTAAAAACAATAACACCTAGAAAAACACATACACACAGAGAGATTCATGTTTCACAGAATTCTCATCAATCATGTACCACATTGTCACCTACAGTACTAGTATGATGACATCCAGTATACTTTGTAGAGGGCAAGTGTCATCCAGTACAGTATGAGGTGTCAGTTAGATGACATCATGACAGTAATAACCACAAACCCCTCCCTGTAGACTCCCTACTGTGAGAGATGATACTCTTATCGACAGAGATCTTAGATGCTGCCATGATAAAAGGAAACGGAAGAGATCCCATTAGATAAGAATACTGCCACACTCCTTTATCATCATCCCTTTATTATCTATTGTCACTCTCCTTTAATCTTCTGTACATTGTCCTCACAGCTGACTGTCACAGGAGCGTTTGGTAGAGGTTACTTCTCTAGACCTTATATTGCACTCACATAGACAGACAGATAGACACACACACAGATGCATGCACAAACTCAGACACACACACACATGGTCGAATTGCTTTACAGAAACCACTACTAAAGTACACCAATAATAAGAAGAGACTTGCTTGGGCCAAGAAACACGAGCAATGGACATAAGACCGGTGGAAATTTGTCCTTTGGTCTGGAGTCCAAATTTGAGATTTTTGGTTCCAACCACCGTGTCTTTGTGAGACGTGGTGTGGGTGAACGGATGATCTCCGCATGTGTATTTCCCACCGTGAAGCATGGAAGAGGAGGTGTTATGGTATGGGGGTGCTTTGTTGGTGACACTGTCTGTGATTTATTTAGAATTCAAGGCACACTTAACCAGCATGGCTACCACAGCATTCTGCAGTGATACGCCATCCCATCTGGTTTGGGCTTAGTGGGACTATAATTTGTTGTTCAACAGGACAATGACCCAACACACCTCCAGGCTGTCTAATGGCTATTTTACCAAGAAGGTGAGTGATGGAGTGCTGCATCAGATGACCTGGCCACAACAATCCCCCGACCTCAACCCAATTTAGATGGTTTGGGATGAGTTGGACCGCAGAGTGAAGGAAAAGCAGCCAACAAGTGCTCAGCATATGTGGGAACTCCTTCAATACTGTTGGAAAAGCATTCCAGTTTAAGCTGGTTGAGAGAATGCCAAGAGTGTGCAAAGCTGTCATCAAGGCTATTTGAAGAATCTCAAATATAAAATATATTTTGATTCGTTTAACACTTTTTTGGTTGCTACATGATTCCGTATGTGTTATTTCATAGTTTTGATGTCTTCGCTATTATTCTACAATGTAGAAAATTGCAAAAATAAAGAAAAACCCTTGAATGACTAGGTGTTCTAAAACTTTTGTTCGGTAGTGTATTTATCAGGTGATTTCAGATCATTTTCATTTTTTTCATTGTAAAAAGTTTTGTTATGGTGTGGCCTATTGGACATGACCCAGGTTAAACCCAAGGCAGCAGGCATGAACACTGACACACGGGTGCTGTTCTGTTCAGGTTCCTCTGTTTGTTTATGTGTGTGTTTGTTTGGTTGGTTGAAGGGTTAAGTAAGTGCCATATAGCCATCAGTGTTAAAGTTGCCTTTTACAACAATCCAGAATTGGCACTAAACTTGACACTGTAGGTGGATAGAGAAGGGTGTGTGTGTGTGTGTGTGTGTGTGTGTGTGTGTGTATAAAGCATAAGCAAATACGTTTCTCTGTGTGTGTACGTGTGTGTGCAAATCCTAAGGAAATAAGTGTGTGGTGTGTGTCAGTGTGTTCTTGTGTGAGGCGGTGGCGTTTTTTAGATAAGATGGTGTCGCTCACACACAGCCCAGTGGTTGATCCTCTGACCCTGTGTTCTGTCTCTCAGGAGGCCATCATCGCTGGTCTACATTCTGAGACCACCTACTCTGTTACCGTGGCAGCCTACACCACCAAGGGAGACGGGGCGCGCAGCAAAGCTAAAGTCATCACCACCACGGGAGCAGGTAAGATTTACATATATGTAAATATATTACATATATTTACTATATAGCAACAGAAAAGCAATAGCGCTGCTCAAAGGGGCTCAACTATAATGGACAGTGAAATCTAAAATCTATAATACAGTGGGGGAAAAAAGTATTTAGTCAGCCACCAATTGTGCAAGTTCTTCCACTTAAAAAGATGAGAGAGGCCTGTAATTTTCATCATAGGTACACGTCAACTATGACAGACAAAATGAGAAAAGAAAATCCAGAAAATCACATTGTAGGATTTTTTATGAAATTATTTTCAAATTATGGTGGAAAATAAGTATTTGGTCAATAACAAAAGTTTCTCAATACTTTGTTATATACCCTTTGTTGGCAATGACACAGGTCAAACGTTTTCTGTAAGTCTTCACAAGGTTTTCACACACTGTTGCTGGTATTTTGGCCCATTCCTCCATGCAGATCTCCTCTAGAGCAGTGATGTTTTGGGGCTGTCGCTGGGCAACACGGACTTTCAACTCCCTCCAAAGATTTTATATGGGGTTGAGATCTGGAGACTGGCTAGGCCACTCCAGGACCTTGAAATGCTTCTTACGAAGCCACTCCTTCGTTGCCCGGGCGGTGTGTTTGGGATCATTGTCATGCTGAAAGACCCAGCCACGTTTCATCTTCAATGCCCTTGCTGATGGAAGGAGGTTTTCACTCAAAATCTCACGATACATGGCCCCATTCATTCTTTCCTTTACACGGATCAGTCGTCCTGGTCCCTTTGCAGAAAAACAGCCCCAAAGCATGATGTTTCCACCCCCATGCTTCACAGTAGGTATGGTGTTCTTTGGATGCAACTCAGCATTCTTTGTCCTCCAAACACGACGAGTTGAGTTTTTACCAAAAAGTTATATTTTGGTTTCATCTGACCATATGACATTTTCCCAATCCTCTTCTGGATCATCCAAATGCACTCTAGCAAGCTTCAGACGGGCCTGGACATGTACTGGCTTAAGCAGGGGGACACGTCTGGCACTGCAGGATTTGAGCGTAGTGTGTTACTGATGGTAGGCTTTGTTACTTTGGTCCCAGCTCTCTGCAGGTCATTCACTAGGTCCCCCCGTGTGGTTCTGGGATTTTTGCTCACCGTTCTTGTGATCATTTTGACCCCACGGGGTGAGATCTTGCGTGGAGCCCCAGATCGAGGGAGATTATCAGTGGTCTTGTATGTCTTCCATTTCCTAATAATTGCTCCCACAGTTGATTTATTCAAACCAAGCTGCTTACCTATTGCAGATTCAGTCTTCCCAGCCTGGTGCAGGTCTACAATTTTGTTTCTGGTGTCCTTTGACAGCTCTTTGGTCTTGGCCATAGTGGCGTTTGGAGTGTGACTGTTTGAGGTTGTGGACAGGTGTCTTTTATACTGATAACAAGTTCAAACAGGTGCCATTAATACAGGTAACGAGTGGAGGACAGAGGAGCCTCTTAAAGAGGAAGTTACAGGTCTGTGAGAGCCAGAAATCTTGCTTGTTTGTAGGTCACCAAATACTTATTTTCCACCATAATTTGCAAATAAATTCATTAAAAATCCTACAATGTTATTTTCTGGATTTTTTTCCCTCAATTTGTCTGTCATAGTTGACGTGTACCTATGATGAAAATTACAGGCCTCTCTCATCTTTTGAAGTGGGAGAACTTGCACAATTGGTGGCTGACTAAATACTTTTTTCCCCCACTGTAAATCTAAAAACCTTCTTACCTCAGGACACTTCACAGTGTAATTATCCCATAACAGAGAAGCATAGCACTCTGCATATTTTACACTGAGTATATCAAACATTAGGAACACCTAGGGCTGTTGCGGTGACCGTATTACCACCACACCGGCGATCACGAGTCATGAAGGCAGTCAAATTCCACATGACCGTTTAGTCACGGTAAGTAGTCTTCTCCAAGCTCTGATGCTGCTGATGGTCATTAGTAGCCTACCAACCTTGCTAACTACCTGGTACTCAGCACTCTATTGTCCCTCTAATCACTCTGACATCAATGCAAATGTATTCGGAAATCTAATCAAACACTTAATGAGAGCCCATGAGCTCATGTTGCGCAACATTTCTATAGGCTATGCAATTGCGCGAGAAAACAGAGTGATGGCCTCTATTAAAATAGGAGGATCCCATCAGCTTTCTATAGGCTAGGCCTACTATATTTATTTCTCAACTTTCCAAATATTAAGTACATTGCTTATCTTTACAACAGGAGTATAGCCTACCTGGCTGGCATGAAAATGAACCACGGAAAAAGCTTCCTCCATTCGCTATTTAAGTGCATAGATGACATCTATTTTTTCACCTGCTCCTGTTTTGAGACAGATTTATTATTTAGTATATGTAAAGACAAGATTAAATCAAGAATAGTCTGATGGGTGACATTATTAGCCTATCACTTGTGAATTATATATTATCACTTGTGAATGATGTCCAGCGTAATGCAAGAAACAATGCCTTTTTTTTGCTACTTTTTCTAATCATAGTTGCACAGCTCATGTAGCCTAGCCCATAGGCCTATGTGTGTTGAGATGGTTTGTATCACAACTAAAGTGGCCAAATAGCTTCTTAAAATTAAGCACATTATTCCGCTTTACAAGGGGTGTAGAGCCAAACTGGCATACATAAGCAGCACATGAGTTTCAAGTTTGGGGAAGATAATTTTCACCATAAAAATGCACCTTTATAATAAAAGCATTACATGCACAATCGCATTTGCGGTCACTTTTGATAATGGTGATTTCCCGCTAATGGAACATTCGTGCTAATAGCCTACTCATCCTGTTGGCTGACGAAAAGTAAATGTGGACAGTTCTTCCAATATCTTCAATATGCACTTCGGAATTGGATAAGGACGCGCGCAGTTGTGTCCCCGAAGTGTCTGTCTTCACTTGTAGCCTGTGAGAAAGACCGGATCACGTGATGGAGAGCCATGTGAGTGAGAGGTGCTTCAGAGCACGCAGCACTCAGGGAGAAGGGAACAACGGCCACTGGCCACAAAAGGCATGGATTTTATTAGGGTGCATTACGGCCACACAAAGGGGATGCCGCTGGGAAATTCGAGGCATTATCAAGTGCTTGTCAAATCGTTTGGAGAAAATATCCTTCCTATTTTATTCTTCATACTATAAAATAATATAAAATAATGCCACGGAATTCTAACCAAATCTTGTCTGCTAAATGAACTAGTGTAGCCATCAGCCATATGGCATAGCTAGATCAGGACCTAACATAAGGGCAAATCAGAGTATGCTATTCTGTTCTTCTGAAATAGACTACATTTTCTTCTTATCATGTTTGTTTAGACCTGTCTAAAATAAATAATGGATTTATTGTAAAGGTGTAGGCTATATTACATGGATTTATTAGACTTTTTTAAATGTAGATGTTCCAAAGGTCTGCATCAGTGGCTTGTAGGCTATGTGTGAAAGCCAGGAGATGCTAAATGTGTTTATGTTAATTAATGGTCAATTACCGTGAGACTGACAGTTATTTGCTTGACAATTACCGGCTGACGAAATTCCATGACCTCCACAGGCCTAGGAGCACCTTCCTAATATTGAGTTGCACCCCCAGTTTTGCCCTCAGAACAGCCTCATTTTATCGAGGCATGGACTCTACAAGGTGTTGAAAGTGTTCCAGAGGGATGCTGGCCTTGTTGACTCAAATGCTTCCCACAGTTGTGTCAAGTTGGCTGGATGTCCTTTTGGTGGTGGACTATAACTGATACACAAGGGAAACTGTTGAGCATGAAAAACCCAGCAGCGCTGCAGTTCTTGACACAAACCGGTGCGCCTGGCACCTACTACCATACCCTGTTCAAAGCACTTAAATATTTTGTCTTGCCCATTCACCCTCTGAATGGCACATATACACAATCTATGTCTCAATTGTCTCTAGGCTTAACAATCCTTGAAGGGGAACACCTGTCTCTTCCCCTTCATCTACACTGATTGAAGTGGATTTAACAAGTGACATCATCATGGAAAGAGCAGGTGTTCTTAATGTTTTGTATACTCAGTGTATGTACTGAGTTTATTTCAGGAAGACTTATGTTCATGCATGAAATGTGGCGGATGTATGGCTGATGTTTCAGCCTTTGTGAGATGCTCTCTCTCTCTCCCTCCACTCCCCCCTGCCCTCCTCTCTCCCCCCCACACAGTCCCGGGCCACCCCACCATGATGATCAGCACCACTATTGGTAACACTGCCCTGATCCAGTGGCAGCCTCCTAAAGACATGGTGGGAGAAATGATGGGCTACCAGCTGCAGTACAAACGTCAGGAAGACACGGTACTTGTGTTTTTGTAGGGTTATTGGATTGAGAAGGATAGAGTTGAAAGTTAGGATAAAGAATGCTGAAAGAGCAGTGGTTCAGATTCAAACCCGTGCTGGTAGCAGTGCATTGTACATGTGCTCCAGAGGCAGCAGCTTAGACCGCTAGACCACCCCAGGCCACAACAAGGTACTTGTTAAACATCCAGGACCACTTTGGAAATAAGTGTTTTATAGAGGGCTTTTACAACTCACTGTCATATAGTTCCTCACCCTGAAAGTAGCCTATGGACCAGCAGCAACTGTAATTCATGGTTCGTTTTGAACTTCCCCTTTAATTAATGCTATCAGAATGTATGTATTTTTTAATTCAGGCATTCACCTCTCGGGAGTTCAAACGTACGGACGACCACCACACCGTCACCGGGCTGTACAAGGGCGCCACCTACGTGTTCCGTCTGAGCGCCCACAATCGGGCCGGCACCGGAGTGGCCTACGTCAAGGAGATCAGCACGCAGGAAGACTCACCCAGCGGGTTCCCCTTGAACCTCCGTGTGACGGGGTAAGTACGTCCGCGAGCGCGCGTGTGTGTACCTGCGTGCATGCTTACATGCGTGTGTGTGTGTGTACCTGCGTGCATGCTTTTTGCGTGTGTGTGTGTGCGAGATGCCAATGTCTATTAGAGGGAATCCTCCATGTACTTTATATTAATTTCTGAGGCTGTGGTCTAAATGATATCACTTTACTTCCCACCTTATGAATAGATTACTTTACACTTAGGTTTACACTTTACACTTTACACTTAGGTTGACCACGTCGACCACCCAGCTGGCGTGGGAGCCCCCGGCACTGTCTGAGAGGAACGGGAAGATACTGCAGTACATTGTGGTGTACAGAGACATCAACAGCCAGACCAACAGCACCAACCGGTATTACTCCCTACCCATTAAAATAATGTTACTTGTGTAGTATCCTGTACAGTTCCCTGCCCTCCATGGGCTGGTTTCCCAGACACAGATTAAGCCTGGTCCAGGACTAACTGGCATTCTCAAAAGAGATTATCCAATGAAGTAGCTTTTTAGTCCAGGAGTAGGCTTAGTCTGTGTCTGGGAAACTGGCCCCTTATGACAATCTGTAAGGAGTTCAAAACATGACCCTAAGCAAATTTGTTTGAAAACAGACTATAAAATGTGTATTTTATCTCAACAGGACATCGGACACAAGTATGACCATCCAGGGGCTAAAACCTGACACTACCTATGACATCAGAGTCCAGGCCTTCACCAGTAAAGGAGGGGGACCCATCAGCCCTAGTATACAGAGCAGGACCATGTCCACATCACCTGGTGAGACACACACACACACACACACACACACACACACATGTAATCCACATGCTTACAGATACTCATAAACACCACATAATCACACTGACATGCACATAACGTGTAGAGTGGAGAGGGCTGTTGAATATTTGAGATAAAATTATGTAAAAAAGGAACATGCTTTAGGGTTTTAAGCTTTTTTAAAGTTATCTGTTTCCATGACTGAGGTCGAGATAGTAATAATCTAAACCCTATTTTACCCCCTCAGCGTTCGCCACAAGCTTCGGTGTCAAAGCCGTCATGAAGACCTCAGTCCTTCTCACGTGGGAAGTGCCAGAAAACTACAAGTCCCAAGTGCCTTTCAAGGTAAGCATGGATGGAGTCCACCATGTACTTCACGTTCGTTGTGGTGTGTGTTTTTGGTTTGACTATCCTTGTGGGGACCTGAAGTCCTCACAAGGATAGTAAAACAAGTAACATTTGTAAAAAAGCTATTTTAGGCTTAGGGGTTAGGTTTAGGGTTAGAGTTAGAATTACAGTTAGGTATAGGGTTAGTGTTTGGGGTTAAGGTTAGGGTTAGGTTAAGGGTTAGGTTCAGGGTTAGAGGTTACGGAAAATAGGATTTTAAATGGGAATCAATTGTTTGGTCCCCACAAAGTCTGTCTGTGTGTGTGTGTGTGTGTGTGTGTGTGTGTGTGTGTGTGTGTGTGTGTGTGTGTGTGTGTGTGAGTGTCTGTGTGTGTGCATGTGCTTGTGTAACCCTATGTGTGTGTGTTGTCTCTATCTAGATCCTGTATAACCAGCAGAGTGTGGAGGTGCAGGGGAACCTGAAGAGGAAGCTGATAACTCGTCTCCAGCCAGATACAGACTACAGCTTTGTGTTGATGTCTAGAGGGAACAGTGCTGGGGGTCTACAGCAGCAGGTCTCCATCAGGACCGCCCCAGACCTACTCAGAAACAAACCCCTCCTCTACTCTACCCAGCAGAACCAGGGAGGGAAGCTCACTATAGACCTACCCAAAGTACAGACTACTGCTCAAGTCAGGTTAGTAAACTCACAGTAGAACCACCTATAGTTTAGACCACCGCTCAAGTCAGGTTAGTACCAAAGAACTAGTTAACTATCCAACAAACTAACTAACCAATAGTGTAAACCTGATTAGGAAGGTAAGTATCAAGGTACAGACTACTGCACAAGTCCGGTTAGTACAATATTGTGCTCAAAGGACCATATAAAAACTGTTGGTAGTTCTCACTCGTCTGAACAGTTGTCTGGGAGGGAATATTTAGGGTAAAGGCCTTTCTAACAAAACTGACTAACAAAGTAGCACAAACCCTGTCTAAACAGCAAACTGAAAAAGCAAATTATCCTTGTACCATCTGCGAAGTCCATTCCTTTATTGTTGCACTGGCTTCAGTCCAGCCTGTGGTTACCTTAATCCCAGCACTAGCACATTGTCAATACTTTTTATTCCTGTGTTGCAATTGGATTCCTGCTGTTGCAATTTGGTCAAATTGCAAAGCCTTAAATTTCCCCAAACTGCCCCAATCTAAAGACTACTCTCAGAATGTCAGGTCTATGTCCCAAATGGCACCCTATTCACTACTAAAGTGCACAACTTTTGATCAGGGCCCATAGTGCATAGTGCACCATATAGGGAATAGGTTGCCATCTGGGTGCATTCCAGGAGTGGTTGGTTAGAATGGTTGGAACCTTCCCCTCACTCTGTTCCACCAGTTGCCAGGGCAGCAGAGGTTAGGGCTGAGAGCAGCGCTTTGATTGGTGAAAATATTACTGTGATGCAGCGCAGGGCGAAGACTCACTCACTCACACACACACACAAACACACAGACACACACACATCGGAGAGTAGAGATCTTATTAGACATGTCTTCTACCACTCTGAAACAAGCAGAAAGACGGATCACACAGCTGGAGCAGAAACAGAAGGAAGATAGAGGAGAGATGAGCAGGCTGTCTCTGTCTGAGGGCTGATTGTTAAAGTGGCTGAAGTTTGCAAAACTAGTAGATGGAGAGAGAGAGAAACAGATAGGTGGAGAAAGGGAGAGGAAGCAAAGAAACATACCAGTCAAAAGTTTGGACTCACCTACTCATTCAAGGGTTTTTCTTTATTTTTTAAATGTTTTACATTGTAGAATAATAGTGAATACTTCAAAACTATGAAAGAACACATATGGAATCATGCAGTAACCAAAAAAGTGTTAAACAAATATAAATATATTTTATATTTGAGATTCTTCAAATACCCACCCTTTTCCTTGATGACAGCTTTGCACGCTCTTGGCATTCTCTCAACCAGCTTCTTGAGGTAGTCACCTGGAATGCATTTCAATTGACAGGTGTGCCTTCTTAAAAGTTAATTTGTGTAATTTATTTCCTTCTTAATGCGTTTGAGCCAATCAGTTGTGTTGTGACAAGGTAGGGGGGGTATACAGAAGTTAGCCCTATTTGGTAAAAGACCAAGTACACATTATTGCAAGAACAGCTCAAATAAGCAAAGAGAAACGACAGTCCATCATTACTTTAAGACATGAAGGTCAGTCAATACGGAACAATTCAAGAACTTTGAAAGTTTCTTCAAGTGCAGTCGCAAAAACAAGCGCTATGATGAAACTGGCTCTCATGAGGACCGCCACAGGAATGGAAGTTACCATTCCAATCAAATAAATGCTTTACAGAGTTCAAGTCACAGACACATCTCAACATCAACTGTTCAGAGGGGACTGTGTGAATCAGGCCTTCTTGGTCAAATTGCTCCAAAGAAATCACTACTAAAGGACCCCAATAAGAAGAAGAGACCTGCTTGGGCCAAGAAACACGAGCAATGGACATTAGACCGGTGGAAATCTGCCCTTTGGTCTGGAGTCCAAATTGGAGATTTTTGGTTCCAACCGCTTTGTCTTTGTGAACGGATGATCTCTGCATGTGTAGTTCCCACCGTAAAGCATGGAGGAGGAGGTGTTATGGTGTGGTGTTGCTTTGCTGGTGACACTGTCTGTGATTTATTTAGAATTCAAGGCACACTTATCACTTCTGCAGCGATACGCCATCCCATCTGGTTTGGGCTTAGTGGGACTATCATTTGTTTTTCAACAGGACAATGACCCAACACACCTCCAGGCTCTGTAAGGGCTATTTTACCAAGAAGGAGAGTGATGGAGTGCTGCATTAGATGAGCTGGCCTCCACAATGCCCCGACCTCAACCCAATTGAGATTGTTTGGGATGAGTCGGCAGAGTGAAGGAAAAGCAGCCAACCAGTGCCAAAATAAAGAAACACCATTGAATGATTGGGTGTGTCCACACTTTTGACTGGTACTGTATGTTGTGCTGTATTTTATTTGTGTTATATTGTATTAGATGTTTTATGAAATCGTATATGCAGGGCTCCCATCACTGGTCTCAATGATGACTCCCTGATTAAATAAAGGTAAATATAAAACGTCTGCTCTGGTAGCAGGGCAGAGAATGCAATTTTACCCCATGGGTGGATCTGTGCTTGCCAATGGGAACCAAACCGATATGCCCAAAACCAAAAAGCTGTTTATTGTGTTTTTTTTTCCGGATTTCTGTTTGAATTTACACAATGTTTGGTTTCTAGGTGGTACTACATTGTGGTGGTGCCAGTATCTCAGTCATCGTCATGGGGATGGGAGAACCCTGACGAGATGGACCTAGATGAGGTGAGTCGTAACAGCAGGAACATTTATTGGTAGCTCACAGTCATGGACTGAATTGCACACCAATTAACAAAGAAATACAGATTCCCATCAAAATTAATAAGGATTCCGTCAAGATTTCCATCAGAGTGTAACCCTGTAGAGAACTCCATGAAAATACCTGACCCTGTGTCAGTGATTAGGGACATCTCACTACACCACTCCTAATAACTCCCTGACCTCTAACCCCTGATCTTTATCCTCTCTTCCCTAACCCTCAGCTGTTGGATTCAGGCGAGCGTCCTGTCCTTCGGCAGCGGCGCCAGGTTGAGCCAACCCGGCCGTACATCGCTGCCAAGCTGGACTTGCTGCCTGCCACATTCACCCTAGGAGATGAGAAGAGGTACAACGGCTTCTACAACCGGCCCCTACCCAGACACCAGCAGTACCTGGCCTTCATACTGGCTGCCCTGAAGGAGCAAGAGCAGGAGAGCAGCGATAAACATGTAAGGAACAGAGACAGATGCGCACTCACGCACACACACACATGTACAGTACATTCACACACACGTACAGTACATTCACACACACACGCACACACATATACTGTACACACAAATACTGTATATACACACACATAGATACAGACATGCAGTATCTACACAGACTCATATATATTATAGTAATATGGGCAAAAATACTGCTTAGAACTTTCTTCCATCACTCGGCAATGGCCTGTATCTTATGCTAATGACATCCATGCCCATATCAGTGGCTTTGCTACACTGAAACTACTACTGTACTGTTGTACACTCTGGGATGTGGAGTCAAGTACTTGTCCTGTTGTCAAACAGGACTGAGCCCAAGCTCTCTCTGTGGGACAGGCTGAGTAAACTCCAGTGCAGGAGAATGAAAGTCAGATAGGAGCTCTGGGCTGCTGGAGGACCCTGTACAGGAATATTCAGCAGATAGATACTGTAGCAGGACCCTGGGCAGAGAGGAGAGCAGAGGCCAGTCCTCCTCCTCCTGTCCTCCTCCTCCTCCCGTCTTCTTCTTCTTCTTCTTAAACATGCGTTTATTAATTTTTTTAATCATCTTTGAAATGCAAGAGAAAGGCCACAATATAATATTGCAGTTTAGGCGCAATTTAGCAGTGTGTGTGTGCAAAGTTTCAGATTGATCCTGTGAAGCATTGCAATACTGGGCTATTTTGTATCAAGTCTGCTAAATGTGCAGAATTGGTCAATTGATACATTTTCAAGTACATAACTATAGAGAACATACAAAAATGATATGGTAATACAAAATGTAAGTTTACACACTCCCAGGAATGTCATACATGATGGATCATTCGCTTATACACTAACTTACACATCTAGATGGCCGGGCGGGGTGGGTGTGGACAGCAAGGGTTCAAACTGTAGAACCCAGTTCCTACATTTTAATATAAACATGGATTTTATCAAATAAAACTATGCTACATTTTATCTTTGGGACCCTCAGGATGACATATCAGAGCAAGATTACTGAATGTAAGTACATTATTTACCTTCAGAGGTGAATGTATCAAACCAGTTGCCGTGATGTTTTTTGTTGTTGTGCACTTTCCTCAAACAATAGCACTATAATAGCGACTGTAAATTGGACAGTGCAGTTAGATTAACAAGAATTTAAGCTTTCTGCCCATATAAGACATGTCTATGTCCTGGAAAGTTTGCTGTTACTTACAACAGTCATGCTAATCACATTAGAGATAGAGAGAGAGAGAGATAGAGATTAGGAGCTAAAGAGAGAGATAGAGAGAGCGAGAGAGATAGAGAGAGAGAGATCGAGCATAGAGAGATAGATAGAGAGATAGCTCTCGCGCTCGTCTCTCTTGCGTCTCTGCATCAGATCTCTGCTATCTAGCTCTCTCTCTCTTCTCTCTCTCTCTCTCTCTCTCGGCTCTCTCTCCTCCTCTCTCTCTCTCTCTCTCGCTTCTCCTCTCTCTCTCTCTCTTCTCTCTTCTCGTCTCTCTCTGACTCTCCTTCCTCTCTCTCTACCTGAGGGAGAGAGAGCTGACCTTCCTGCTTGTACATACATAACCAGCGTGTGACAGAGCTGCAGGAGTTGTGACCCGTTTTTGTTGGTTATGTTGTCGTAGTTATGCCTAGGGGGGCATATGGGGGAGGGAATGCTGTCACCATGTGTGCTGAGGGTGTCAGGTTCTTGTCCAGTTCTGGCATTTAGGTCGCCACAGACTAGTACATGTCCCTGGGTCTGGAAATGATTGATTTCCCCCTCCAGGATGGAGAAGCTGTCTTCATTCAAGTATGGGGATTATAGTGGGGGGATATAGGTAGCACACAGGAGGACATTTTTCTCTGTTGAGATCATTTCCTTTTGAATTTCTGGCCAAATGTAAAATATTCCTGTTTTGATTAATTTAATAGAATGAGTTAGGTCTGCTCTATACCAAATTAGCATACCCCCTGAGTCCCTTCCCTGTTTCACACCTGGTAGTTTGGTGGATGGGACTACCAGCTCTCTGTAACCTAGGGGGCACCCAGTGGGTCCGTTTCCTCTATACCATGTTTCTTGTAGGATGACAATGTCTGTATTTCTGTATGTGTGACTTTCATGTTGAGGCCCTCTTTGCGGGAGTGGAGGGCATGGGGTGAGTAGGAGGGGCATAGGTCTGATCTGAGGGGGCCTAAGTGGGGTGTGGGCATGGTTGACTTGGGGGGGTGTTAATTGGTGGGGGTGGGGGTGTGGATGTGGCTGGTGGTGCTGTGGTCTGGATGTAGTTCCTCTCGGCGGGGGTCCTCTATGTGTAGGTCCGGGAGAGTGTCTCGCTGGTCTGGGCGGGGTGTCTGTTGATCTGTTGCTCCTGTGTGAGGTGTTGGGTCTGCGGTTGAGGGCGATATCCATTAGGATCCGGGCGAAGGTGGGCACTGCTCAGTTGCCTTGTATAGGTGGACCTGGTCGTAAAGGCTGTTCAAGTCTAGGGTGGAGTGGTGGGCCAGGTATCTCTCTCTCCTTATCTTTTTATATGCTCTCTCTCTCTCTCTCTCTCTCTCTCTCTCTCTCTCTCTCTTTGTGTCACTCGCTGTCTTTGCTCTCTACGGATACTGTACAGTGAACTATAAGACGACTTGTTAAGGAAGTTTGTTGTTGATGCTTTAGATGACAGTCAAACTACCACACCCCTTATAAAGTGTTACATAATCTGAAATAAAAAAATCCCAGAATTTTCTCATAGGCACAAAAAGCTTATTTCTCTCAAATATTTTGCACAAATTTGTTTACATCCCTGTTAGTGAGCATTTATCCTTTGCCAAGATAATCCATCCACCTGACAGGTGTGGCATATCAAGAAGCTGATTAAACAGCATGATCATTACACAATAAAAGGCCACTCTAAAATGTGCAGTTTTGTTACACAACACAATGCCACAGATGTCTCAAGTTTTGAGGGAGCGTGCAATTGCCATGCTGACTGCAGGAATGTCCACCAGAGCTGTTGCCAGATAATTTAATGTTATTTTTTCTACCAAAAAATAAAATTATTTTTTCTACCAACGTCGTTTTAGAGAATTTGTCAGTACGTCCAACCATCCTCACAACCGCAGACCACGTGTATGGCTTCGTGTGGGCGAGCGATTTGCTGATGTCAACGTTGTGAACAGAGTGCCTCATGGTGGCGTTAGGGTTATGGTATGGGCAGGCATAAGCTACAGACAACGAAGCTACACAATTCCTGGAAGCTGAAAATGTCCCAGTTCTTCCATTGCCAGCATACTCACCGGACATGTCACACATTGAGCATGTTTGGAATGCTCTGGATCGACGTGTATGACAGTGTCGTGACCTGTCTTACTTTAATGTATGACTGTTATTTATCGAATCACCTAACTATGTTTAATTGTCACTTGATTAAATTAATCATGTAACAATTAAGTCATTAGAAATTTGGGGCACCACGGAAGAAGTTGTTTGACGAGTTACCATCTCCCGAATTAAACTCTTAGAAGATATATGTTATATATCAATAACAGTCAATTACTTCTTATCATTCTCATTCTGAACGTCGCATAATCCTTGAACCTGCAAGAACCCTAACCTTATTGATGAATCAGCAATACACAAATTGGCTTAATTATTTATTTACTAACTAACTAAATAATAACACAAGACAAACACACACAGGTTATTGATTACTAACATAATACAATAAAAACAGGTCCCTAGTGGACTGGACTAACAATAGCATGAATGCTTGGGTAGAAGGACGGTCAGAGTGGAAGGGAGAGAGAGATTCAAACTATCGTAGTTACTGCGGATTATAAATGCAACATGTATTTACGTGTAGCTGCCCTCAATAGTTGAGTTGATGATGTAGGCCTATGGTTTGCCCACTAGAGATCCCAATGTACTTGGTAGAGTTTCTGGTCATAGTTGTGGTTAGAATGAATAATTCAGATGTACCAGCGGTGTCTTTAGTGAAAGTTCTCTAGACGACTATACATGCCAGCTGCAGACTGAAATGATAAGGTCTAGTGCATTGTCTTCTTCTTCACCTTGTGAAGAGGTTGAGAGTTTCTGAGTTTCTCCATTTCAAACGTGTGGACTAACGTCTCACGTTCTCTGGTCTTTCTGGTCTAACCATTTTGTAACGTGTAGTTTTGTCACGTCTCCTCCCGTTGCTCCCCTCCGGCGCTCTGATTCGCCGGTCTACTGAGCCACCGGTCTGAGCACATCACTTCGGCAACACCGGAATAGAAACCCAATGCACCCTAAGCACCTCCAGCGCACCTGCACCTCATCATCTCATCACCTCCCCTATTTAGCCCTGGACTGTTCCTTATGATGTTGTGTGTGATTGTTTAGCTTCGTTTCGTGTACTCTATCTTTGTTATATCTCTTTGTCATTGTTTAAGAAAACCTTGACCTTGTTAATTCCTGCGTCTGCATCCTGCCTCTTTGTATACTCAGTACTTGTCACAAGCTTCAGCTTCACGCTTCTTGGTCTTGTAGAAAATCAACCATTTGCAACATACAGCTTATACCGTGGTATGCTTGGTCTTCCTTTGGTAATGGAGTTGTAATTTTAAACCAGTTTGTAACGTTTAACGGACGCTTCATGTCTGCTGGTCTAATGTTAAAATGTTTTCAAGGCTTTTTATGCACTCGGGGTAAAAGGGGCGTTCCATCATGTTTGTGCTCATCTGGGCGTGGCCACTGACTGAGAACAAATCAATATGGAAAACAATCATCTCATCTAGAATGCTAAAATCACATTGTTATCTTCATAAAAGTATTATTATACTTAATCATTCGTTTTATACAACAATTAGATGCAAACCTCATAACTGGGAAGTGTACCCCCCAGAGATAGTTATGTTGTTCCACTGTCTTTAATGACATCACAACATAGTAACAAACTTGACATGATTGTTCTTTAAGTCCCCACCAACCATTTCCCACATACTTTTAAGTAGGACTCTTGTTTCATTATCCACTTTTGGATGTTGGAGTTTTGGCAGGAAGACTTCCTTTGTTAACAAAGGGGTCCTTTCTCCCAATACTTCATGGCAAGTAAGAGAAAGTCTGCACGGTATTTACGACCAGTCATAAAACTGGCCCCCAGGAAAGGGGGTGTTCAAACCTTTGCCTAGCCGGCATGTTTGATCCTCAACCCATGAGGGCAAGTCATGACAACAGCATGTTCCAGTTCCCGCCAATATCCACCAAATTCGCACAGCCATTGCAGAGGAGTGGGACAACATTACACAGGCCACAATCAACAGCCTGATCAACTCTATGCGAAGGAGATGTGTCTCGCTACATGAGGCAAATGGTGGTCACACCAGATACTGACTGGTCTTCTGATCCACGCCCCTACCTTTTTTAAAGGTATCTGTGACCAACAGATGCATATCTGTATTCCCAGTCATGTGAAAAATGTAAATCCATAGATTAGGGCCATATTAATTAATTTCAATTGACTCATTTCCTTATATGAACTGTAACTCAGTAAAATCTTTGCACGTTGCATTTATATTTTTGTTCAGTGTATGTATTCTAACTCCCCTCTCCCCCTTCTCTTCTCTCCCTCCTTAGAGAACGTTCTCAGCTAGTCCGTACTCAGACCCTATCCAGGTATACCCTAACATAGCCAGGAGTGTAGAGCAGCCAGAGATGCTGTGGGTCATGGGCCCTGTCCTGGCTGTGGTGCTCATCATCATCATCGTCATCGCCATTCTGTTCTTCAAGAGGTGAGACACTGTGTATGTGTGAGACACTATGTGTGTGTCTGAGGGGGGATGGATGAAGGGTGGGGGAGATGTAGGGTATGTGTGTGTTTCTCTGTGTGTGTGTGTGTGTGTGTGTGTGTGTGTGTGTGTGTGTGTGTGTGTGTGTGTGTGTGACGTAATGTGTGTGCCAGTGACACCGCCTTGATGCAGGTTACCACACATTGCATCAACGACTGTGATTGTTGATAAAGACACACTGCACCCCTATGCAACTCTCTGCACCTCGTGTGATTCTCAACCCCTGCAATTGAAATACCTCCTAACATTACTTGTTATAAAACGGATGCGTCCAAAATGGTACCCTACTTTTGACCAGGGCATACCCTTCACACTCTGACAGACATAAGAGAAAAGAGAAGTATTTAAAAATAATTAAAACCTGTTTTCTCTCTGGCTCTTTAGCCTGTCATAAGCAACAATAGACTCTGAAACAGGCAGGGACCACATACAAAGCCAAGTCAGCCTGACACACACACACACACACACACACACACACACACACACTCACACATGCACGCACACACATGCAGACACAGACACTGAAACACACAAAAGCACACATACACACACAAAGAGCCCCCTCACCCCCATCCATGCTGTTGACTCCATCTCTCCCCTGCCACCCTGTAGCATAGACTGTCTCTGACCTTTCATTCCCCACTGCTGTGTGAGGGCTGCAGCTCCAGTAATAATAGGCCATCAGACTGCTACCTGCTGGGGAGCAGGGCCTCTGTCTCGTTCTGTCTCTCTGTGTGTGTTAGAGATGGTTCACCACAGACAGACAGTACTAGATTGACAGGAGCTATAGGAGAGAGGCAGACAGGTTGCCTGGCCTCCCTGCCAGCTTGCCTTTTCACTGCACATCTCTAGATATATCAGAGAACAGTGATACTCTCTACTTCTACCTCAACTGACTTTAGGGCTAGCTAAACCGAAGGTTGCTGGTTCAAGTCCCACTCTGACTGTTCCCCCCTATATCGCTACGTTAGGGCTCTGATCACTATTAACCCTCCTTCCCTCTCCTCTATGTTCTCTCCAATGTATGCAGCAAACAGGAGAGGTGGGTACTTACTGTCACATATTAGCCATGGTTTCATCCACCTCGACTAACACCCTGCCATTCGTTGTCTTGCTATTCAGTGATGTGGTCCTGATTGTTCAGAAACTCCTGGCCTTAGCAGTACTATGTTCTAGTACTATGGTTGTACACTGTAAAATATTTGAGTAGTTTTAACTTCCAAAATGTTACTCTGCAATTTTGGACTAGTTATTATAAGTTATGTCAACTCAGTACATCAAGTTCAGTTGTTCAGTTGACAAAAGTTAGGTAACTCGTCTTAAGTTGAAACAACAAGATGTTTTACAGTGTATTAACTAGTGCATTTCCCACCTATAGTGTCATGTCATGTTGAAATATCTTGTTTTGTGGCTGTGGTGTATTACTGTGCTGTGTTCATTATATGATCGTTGACAGTGGTGTGTGGTGTGTCCAGGTCAACCCCAATCTGAACACACACACACACCCTTCAAGGTCGGCTCCAATCTAAATTGTCTGACTCAGTCTGTCTCTGTCTGAGCTGGGTCTCTGTCTGAATGGCCCATTGTCAAATAAATGCCAGGTGGGGTGACTAATACTGCGTCCCAAATGGCACCCTATTGGGTACTGGTCAAAGGTAGTACACTATATAGGGAAAATGGTGCCATTTAGGACGCTGACGATAAACCAAAAATTATCGACACAGACCAAACCGACCACTTATCGTTGACATTTTTTTGATATTGTTAATTACGTTATATAACCTATATGGCCCTACTATAGAATTTAGAAGTTTTAAATAAATTAAGTTTGCTAATATTGATTATTGTTAATTACACAAGGGGTGGTGTTACAGGAGAGTTCGCAGTACCGGAGCGACCCACTAGGTGTCAACTCCGACAACCTTAGGCACCTCCTCACTCACAGTCTGGACTAATCATTATCTAATTGGTGTCACCTGTGTCTACCTGTTTACCTGTGTATTCATGCCCTCACTTCCCTGTGTTCCCTTGCTCTGTTTTCTCTGCTAGTTCAAAATAAAATGTTTAAAATGTATGCACTCACTAACTGTAAGTCGCTCTGGATAAGTGCGTCTGCTAAATGACTAAAATGTAAAAATGTAGTTCGCGATGCCAAACAGTATTAATCAGTGTCTGATCGCGAGACGTATGTACAGGTACTTGAGAAGTGTTCTCCCTGTTTCATTGTTGTTTTCAGTCACAGTTAGTATTTTGTGTGTTTGCTGTCAGCCTGTTTTTGGAGACCAATTTGCTCCTCCTTAATTTTTTCGTGATTTTTCCTGGTTTTGGGACCACCAGTAAAGATCCTTGTTTCACCATCTCTGACTACTGCCTACTGTCTATCCTGCACCGCAACTGGGTCACATCTCACACCAACCCTTACAGAAAACAGAGCCAATATGGACCTAGCGAAGGCAGCGCAGTATCGCAGCGCGTTGGCAATGCAGGGAGCTATGCTAAACCAGCACGACCGCAGCCTGCAGCAGATCACGAGAATCTCCGCCAGCTGAAGATCGCCGTGCAGAGGCGGGTGGACACCCGACCAGCCCCGGCAGCCGGCAGAGCGGAAGCCGCGGCAGCGGCGTCTCCAGTCTCGCCTGTGACATTGCCTACCACCTCCGGAGAGGTACGACGGACGTCCAGAGGGCTGCAGGGAGTTCCGGACTTGGGCTCAAGAGGCAGGATGGGAGGAGGTCGCCCTGGTCATCCTTTACACGCAGGGGCTATCGGAGGGGATGAAGGACGAACTCTCCTTCAGGGAGCTGCCTGAGAGACTGGACGGCCTCGTCGACCTCTCGGTGCGGGTAGACAATCAGCGTCTTGAGAGGGCGCATGAGAGAGGATGACGCAAGGCACGCTTGTCCAGGATGGAGAAGCAGAGACGTCTGTGCCAGGGACGTTGCCTGTACTGCGGCCAGGCAGATTACCACTGCGACTCAAGTCCGGAGAAGCTGGGAAACGGGAGGGCTCGCTATTATCGGGAGGGGTGCTAGCGAGCCGGAACCGAAACCCCAACCCTAGAGACTCCCAGACTTTTCTCCCCGACAGGGTTCAGTGTGGTGGATTCGGGGGCCGCGGGAAACCTGATGAACGCTGGGCTGGCCCAAGGGTGGAGCATTCCGTAACTCTCCCTCTCCGAGACGGTTTCAGTCATGGGCCTGGACGGCCGGCCGTTGGGGTCGGGCTTCATCAACCGGCGCACTGTCCACGTGCATGTCCGGGTGGCAGGGGGGCTATGGGAGGATATCCAGTTTTTCATTGTGGACTCTCCAGAGTGTCCCCTCATCCTCGGGTACCCCTGGCTGGTCACCCACAAACCCCGGATAGACTGGTGGGCAGTGGCCATGCATTGATTACCGGGCGCTCAACGACATAACGGTTAAGAACCGCTACCCACTCCCCTTGATGACGACATCATTTGAGTCGTTGCAGGGAGCCCGGGTCTTACAAAATGCCTACAACCTGGTGAGGATTTGGTAGGGGGACGAGTGGAAGACTGCTTTTAACACACCCAGTGGGCATTACGAGTACCAAGTCATGCCGTTCGGTCTAGCCAACGCGCCTGCGGTGTTCCAGGCGTTGGTCAATGACGTGCTCCGGGACCTCCTCGACTACTGCCTCTTTGTGTATTTGGATGACATCCTAATATTTTCAAAGAACATGAGTCAACACCAGCAACACGTTTGGCAGGTCCTCCAACGCCTTCTCCATCACCAGCTCTACATCAAGGCGGAGAATTGCGTGTTCCACACAGAGACAGTCTCCTTCCTGTGGTTCATTGTCACTCAGGGGGATCAACAGATGGACCCAGCCAAGGTCAGCGTGGTACTGGATTGGCCCCAGCCCTCATCCCTCAAGCAACTACAATGGTCTTTAGGGTTCGCTAATTTTTATAGCCGATTTATTCGCAATTTTAGCTCCCTAGCCGCTCCATTGACAGCCCTCACCCAGACGAGCTTGCGGTCCTTCGCCTGGACCCCGGAAGCGGGGAACGCATTTGAAGTGCTTAAGCAGAGCTTTACATCGGCCCCGGACCTAGGGAATCCTGATCCGTCTCTGCCATTCATTGTGGAGGTGGATGCATCAGACATTGCAGTGGAAGCAATCCTGTCTCAGCGGTTCCTCACGGATGGTAAGACTCACCCCTGCGCGTTTTTTCTCCCTTCGGCTGTCCCCTGCAGAGCGGAATTACAACGTGGGGAATCGTGAGCTGCTAGCGGTCAAGCTCGCCCTGGGGGACTGGAGGCATTGGCTAGATGGGGCCCCACATCCATTAGTCAAATGGACTGACCATAAGAACTTAGCCTACATTCAGGGGGTCAAGAAGTTAAACTTGCGCCAGGCCAGGCAGTTCGTCCCTGTGGACCTGGTGGAGATGGACAACCCCATTGTCCCCAATGCCCTGATTGCTGCCCCAGTTTCATGGGGAATCGATAGGCTGGTCAGAGCAGCGCTACGGCGGGAGCCTGATCCGGGCGGAGGTCCATTGGGGAGGATGTACGTACCTAAGGCTGCGCGCTCGCGACTGCTTCAGTGGGCGCACACGTCCGACCTCACCAGCCAATCCGGGGGACGCCAGGACATTGGAGTTCCTGCGTAGGAGGTTCTGGTGGCCATCAGCTGAGGGGGATACGTGCGCCTTCGTGGCTGCTTGCCTGGTGTGCATGCGCAAGAAGAGCTCACGTCAGCCCGCGGCAGGGCTGCTCGGACCCCTGCCTATCCCCAAGCGCACCTGGTCCCACATCTCGCTGGATTTTATTTCCGCCCTACCCCCCTCTGATGGATACACAGTCATCCTGGTTATTGTGGACCGGTTTTCCAAGGCTGCCCACTTCATTCCCCTTCTCAAACTCCCGTCGGCCCGGGAGACGGCTGTTGGTGGTGCAGCACGTTTTCCGGGTCCACGGCCTTCCCCAAGATGCGGTGTCAGATCGGGGTCCTCAGTTAACCTCCAGGTTCTGGAAGGCGTTCGCCACCTGCCTCGGCGCCTCCGTCAGCTTGTCTTCCGGCTTCCATCCCCAGTCGAACGGGCAGACGGAGCACGTCAACCAGGATCTGGAGGGGGTGCTGAGGTGCTATGCCTCCAGCAACCCAGCTACGTGGAGTCAGCGACTGGCGTGGGCGGAGTACCCCCACAACACACTTCTCTGCTCGTCCACAGGCATGTCCCCCTTCCAGTGTCAATACAGGTACCAACCACCCCTATTCCCTGAGCAAGATGAAGAGGCTGTGGTCCCGTCGGTCCAGGCCCACATCAGTCGCTGTCTTCGCACCTGGAGGCAGGTACGGGCGCCGTTTAAGCGGCCTCGGTCAAGTCTCAACATCAGGCCAACCACAGCCGTCGCCTGGCACCGGTTTTTCGCCCGGGACAGAGGGTGTGGCTCTCCACGCGGGATCTTCTTCTCCGCGTGGAGTCCAAGAAGCTGTCCCCCCGGTTCGTCGGGCCTTTCAGAGTGGTCTGGTGAGTCAACACAGTGGCCTACCGCCTGCAACTACCCCCCACCATGCGGGTTCGCAGTTACGGAGCGACCCACTAGGTGTCATCCTCCGACAACCTTAGGCACCTCCTCACTCACAGTCTGGACCAATCATTGTCTTTTGATGTCACCTGTGTCTACCTGTTCACCTGTGTATTTTTGCCCTCACTTCCCTGTGTTCCCTTGCTCTGTTTTCTCTGCTAGTTCTCGATGCCAAACAGTACTAATCAGTGTCGGATCGCGAGACTTATGTACAGGTACTTGAGAAGTGTTCTCCCTGTTTCATTGTTGTTTTCAGTCATAGTTAGTATTTTATATGTTTGCTTTCAACCTGTTTTTGGAGACCAATTTGCTCCTCCTTTATTTTTTCGTGACAAGTCCGTTATTTTGTATCCTGGTTTTGGGACCACCAGTAAAGATCCTTGTTTCATCATCTCTGCCTACTACCTACTGTCTATCCTGCACCGCACCTGGGTCACACCTCACACCAACCCTTACAGGGTGGGTCTAATCCTGGATGCTAATTGGTTAAAACTGCATTCCAGCTGGTGTCTATTCCACAATTTACTAAATCTATGATGTTGAAAGGCTTATTTACTCTGCTCCATCTGACTGCGCAATCCACTGTCTCATCAGCCCAGTCAGACAATTTATATATACTAGATCTACGCTGTAAAAAGCATCTAGACATTATCTCCCATTTCTTTTAGACTAGCATTTGGTTTTCAACAGCGGACATTTGTATTATCCTTGCTGTCTGTCTCTCCAACATTTGCAACATTGTGTCAATATTGAAATTTGATCTCCAGCTGTCCCATAGTAATGAACGTATCGGGAGTCGGGATGAGACAGACAGGCTGGCAGCTTTTCTCAGCCAGTCGAAATCGTGAATCAGCCTCATTTTTATGCATATATACAAAGGAATGTCAATAGAAAAACACAATTCAGCTAATTTACTGTCATTGCAGCTTCAGTTTGAAGCTTTTGTGTTAGCTGTGTAACGTTAATTGGATATCTCTTCTGAACAGTGGCCTGGTGACAGAGCAAATGTTCTATGCCAGGCGAAATCGAGCATGATTAGCTCATTGTTATGGATGCATCCAAATAAATGTCACTAGAAAACCGTTTACACAAATGCAAACGAAGATTCTTTGTTGTTATTCTGGCTGCACTGTTTGACATGACTGTAAATTAGCCGTAGTTGGCTAGCTAGCAAGCAAGGGATAAGAACGTTGCCAGCCATCATGGCAATGGAACATTTAGAATTAACGACTGGGTGGCGTCCACAGATTTTTAACAAAAATACTTAACGACTGGGAATCTCTGGCAACCGAACCGATAGAACGAACGACCAGCCGGCTTGGGTAACAACCCTAGATTTGTGTCGGGACTATATCTCGTGGAAGAATGAAATAGTATGAATAAATTAATCAAAATAACGTTTTTAATTAAAATATGTCAATCATTATTTGAATATGTTGGTAATCTGTTGTATAAAAGTGATAATGCCCTCGAAGCCGGTGTTTGGAGGATAAATTGATAACTACTATAGCCCATAGAAACGCATTGAATAACACATTCATGAATGGCAAAAAAAAAGACAGTCAAAAAATAACGTTTGGTCTGTTCTCGGTCAGAGAAGAGAGGAAGAAATGCTTTTCAGAGATTACCCTAGCGTCACGCTGCTAACATTAGCTAGTATTAGCCTAAGCTCTGTAGCGTCAGATAACAGTTGCTGTGGCCAGGTAGAACCTGTAGATGCATGCCATTCTCACTGTACACACACACACAAACATACAGACGCACACGCACACACACACACACACACAGGTTTGATGCAATTTTCTAAGTTGAATGTATTTTTTAAAATATTTATTATACTTTGTATTATCATTATTATTATTGTAGGCCTATTTAAGAATCTGAACCAGTTCTGTGTTCGGACTGTCTTTTTAATGTTTTGCTCCGTATTTAGTTGAAAATAGGTTAAAAGTAGTTTGTAAAATAAATTAATTTGTTCAGTAGTTACTCACTTTTGTTGGTAATTACTACAATAAAGGCCTAGCCTGTTAACACTACTGTGATGAGGTGTTGTTGAAGGAATCAGGCGCAGGAGGGTAAATCACAGAATAACAGGCTTTAATCCGCAAAATACAGTTTTACGTAGAAATGCGTCAAACACACTCCAGGGCACATAACAGGCGCACTGGAAAATACAAGGCATACGGGAAATACTCCCGTCGATACAAAATACACGAGCTCCACCGAGCTTCACTAACCTCCACAATAAACAATCACCCACACAGACAAGGAAGCAGAGGGAACACTTATGCAATGACTAATGAGGGAATAAGGACCAGGTTTGTGTGATTGAAGACAAGACAAATGCAGTGATGATAAATGGTTTGGCAGTAGCTAGTAAGCCGGTGACGCCGAACGCCGAAACCTGCCCGAACAAGGAGGGGAGGCAGCCTCGGCGGAAGTCGTGACAACTACAATCACTAAAGCAGTCATTCTGACTGCTCATGAATGTTCTTTTTTTATTACTCTGCCATTTTTTAAGTCATGCCCCCCTCCGTCCTTGACTTTTCCTAAATAAGTCTACAGTATATAACAAACTGTCGGTGTTAGAATCGTAATATCACAAACAGAATTGGAGTTAAGAAACAACATGGAGCCGATAGACATGGTCGCGCTGTTCATGGCTCCTGTTCATGGTCTGTTATTTCTACAGATGCACAGTCTGGGGTATTGTGTGTTGATTGATGAGGGGGGAAAAACAAGGGGTCGGAATACTTACTGAATGCATTGTATGTGTACACGATCAATCAAATTAGATTTGATTTGATTTAGAAGCAGTTTTAGGAGGGCATGTCATTTATTTATGGTTTTCCCCCGTTGCACCTCCTTCTCCCAAACAGTACGACCTGCTCTGCTCCTTCTTCCGACAGTTGAAAGTGCAGTGCCCAGCTGATAATCACCCCGATAATTGCCTCGAAACTAAACATAACTCATACCGAAACTAATTTCACACATATAACAGCAGATGAAATAAATGAAGTAAAGTATGATGGGTAGAAAGGAGGAGAATGGGTGATTGATGAGTGAAGGGAAGCGAATGATGCATAATTATTTAATCACAATTGTGAGCATACATAATTTTACATGCTGAACGGCTTTCTGTGACGAGTACTGAGGATACGAAGAGGCAGGAGGCAGATGGAGGAATCAAAAATGTAAAGGTTTACTTAACACTGAGCAAGAGAACAACAAAGAGCGAGTACACGACAAGACACTAACAATCACACACAACACAACGCTGAACATTCCAGGGCTATATAGGGGTGGTGATGAGATGATGAGGTGCAGGTGCGCTGGAGGTGATTAGGGTGTGTTGGGTTTCCATTCCGGTGTTGCCTAGGTGGTGCGCTCAGACCGGTGGCTCAGTAGACCGGCGAATCAGAGCGCCGGAGGGTAGCAACGGGAGGAGCCGTGACACTTTCAATATCTGGGAAAATATCCACATCGAGCAGCAGATGAGCGAGTGTGGAGAACCTTATGTTTCTACACAGATGTTCTACACAGACCTCAGTCAATGCACAGATGAGTGCAGAGTGCAGAGCGCAGAGATTAATTCCGAGATAGATAGGTCTTCTCTCATATCTCTCACACACGCACACACACACAGTCTTCACACACACCCCCCACACACACACACACACAATCATTTAATTCAGAGATAGATAGGTAATCTCTCCTAACTCGTAATGATGGAAAACAGTCTCTTTACGACTGGTGTGTGAGTGCATGTGTGTTTGTGTGTGTGCACGTGCATTTGTAAGTGTGTGTTTGTAATTGTGATCATGGTTAAACCCTTTCCTGTCTGCCTCCCCCTATAGGAAGAGAATGTCTCCCCTCCCCAAAGACGACCACTCAGGAGGGGTGAAGGACACACTGCTGGGCAACTCCTCTGACCCTGTGGAGATGAGACGACTCAACTACCAGACACCAGGTGCTGTACAGACACACACTTAACACACACACACACACACACACGAACAAACAAAAGTACAAACAAAACACGCTTGCACAAACATACGCACGCACAAACGTACAAACCAAACGCACGCACACACACGCTCACTTACACACACACACACGCACACACACACACACACAGATGTACGCACTCACACATATACTGTACATACACACACACTCACTTGCACACACAAAAACACACAGCCCCCCTCAATGAAGTGCACTAGTTTGTCCACAGAAACACAGCACTAGGTTAGGACCATTATATTCTCCACAAGGTCTTATTATAAGATTTGTATGGAAGGATATTTTAGCCTGCAGCATATTTACTGTACTGTATAATTTATCCGTCAGGCTAGAATACTGATCAACTACAAACCACTGCAGAGACAGACACTATTATACTCGATGCTAAGACTCACTGTGCAATAGCAATAGTTTGTAGCAAAACAAAACCCTGACTAGGGATGCATCCCAAATGGCACCCCATACCCTACATAGTGCACTACTGGATGGAAAACAGTCTCTTTACGACTGGTGTGTGAGTGCATGTGCGTTTGTGTGTGTGCACGTGCATTTGTAAGTGAAGCTTAGCTCTCTCATGCCGTTTGATAATGGTGGCGCTATGCTGCGAGATGTGAGGTCAATACAGATTCCCAATGCATTCTGGGATTTAGCATCAAATTGCGTCGCCTTCACCATTGGACGAAAAGGGTTGTCAGAGGGCTCACATCAGCCCTCTCCTTCTCCCTCTCCTTCCTTCCTTCCTCTCATTCCATTCTCCTCCTCCCATTCTCTCATCCCCTCTCCTCCTATTCTCCTTCCCCATCCCCTCCAATTTTTCTCTCCTTCAATCTCTTCTTAACCCCCTCGCACACACTCTCCTCCTCCCTTATACCCCTATTCATCCCCTCTCCTCTTTCCGCTTGACTTCTCTTTCATTCCGCCACTGGTAATGGTTTGTGATGTTTGATGCCAAGGTGATAGAAGGAAGAGGGAACACACACACACACACACTTTGGAGCTGAGAGAAAATGTCATCCCTCTGTCGCTCCCTTCTTCTCTCCCTCAATTCAGCTGTTGCTCCCTCGCTCTCTGTTCTCCTGGCTGCACTCTCAGAGGGTCTTACAGGGCACGCATGCACACACACACACACACACACACATTGAGCTCATGAATTCAACAGGGCTAGACTTACTGTAGAGTAGGTTGTTATTTCCCTCCATCTCTCTCTCTCTCTCTCGCTCTCACTCTCTCACTCTCTTAATCCAATTCAAAGGGCTTTATTGGCATGGGAAAAATATGTTTACATTGCCAAAGAAATCCTACCCATACTAGATTACGGAGATGTCATTGATAGATTGGCAGGTAAGGGTGCCCTCGAGCAGCTAGATGTTCTTTACCATTCAGTCATCAGATTTGCCACACATGCTCCTTATAGGACACATCACTGCACTCTATACTCTTCTGAAAACTGGCCATCTCTTTATACCCGACGCAAGACCCACTGGTTGAAGCTTATTTATAAAACCCTCTTAGGCCTCACTCCCCCCTTTCTGCATACAATACCAACTGCAACCCTCATTCTCCACATACAACACCCGTTCTGCCAGTCACATTCTGTTAAAGGTCCCCAAAGCATACACATCCCTGGGTCGCTCCTCTTTTCAGTTCGCTGCATCTAGCGACTGGAACGAGCTGCAAGAAACACTCAAACTGGACAGTTTTACCTCCATCTCTACATTCAAAGATTCAATCATGGACACTCTTACTGACACTTGTGGCTGCTTCGTGTGATGTATTGTTGTCTCTACCTTTTTGCCCTTTGTGCTGTTGTCTGTGCCTAACAATGTTTGTACCATGTTTGTGCTGCTACCATGTTGTGCTGCTGCCATTTTGTGTTGCTACCGTGTTGTTGTCATCTTGTGTTGCTACCATGCTGTGTTGTCATCTGTTGCTGCAATGCTGTGTTGTTGTCTTAGGTCTCTCTTTATGTAGTGTTGTGGTGTCTCGCTTGTCGTAATGTATGTTGCGTCCTACATTTAAATTTTTATCCCAGCCCCCATCCCCGCAGGAAGCCTTTTGCCTCTTGGTAGGCCGTCATTGTTAAACATAATTTGTTCTTAATTGACTTGCCTAGTTAAATAAAGATTAAATATATATATATATATATATATATATATATATATATACAGTGGGGAGAACAAGTATTTGATACACTGCCGATATTGCAGGTTTTCCTACTTACAAAGCATGTAGAGGTCTGTAATTTTTATCATAGGTACACTTCAACTGTGAGAGGCGGAATATAAAACAAAAATCCAGAAAATCACATTGTATGATTTTTAAGTAATTAATTTGCAATTTATGCTTCATGCTTCACGGTTGGGATGGTGTTCTTGGGGTTGTACTCATCCTTCTTCTTCCTCCAAACACGGCGAGTGGCGTTTAGACCAAAAAGCTATATTTTTGTCTCATCAGACCACATGACCTTCTCCCATTCCTCCTCTGGATCATCCAGATGGTCATTGGCAAACTTCAGACGGGCCTGGACATGCGCTGGCTTGAGCAGGGGGACCTTGCGTGCGCTGCAGGATTTTAATCCATGACGGCGTAGTGTGTTACTAATGGTTTTCTTTGAGACTGTGGTCCCAGCTCTCTTCAGGTCATTGACCAGGTCCTGCCGTGTAGTTCTGAGCTGATCCCTCACCTTCCTCATGATCATTGATGCCCCACGAGGTGAGATCTTGCATGGAGCCCCAGACCGAGGGTGATTGACCGTCATCTTGAACTTCTTCCATTTTCTAATAATTGCGCCAACAGTTGTTGCCTTCTCACCAAGCTGCTTGCCTATTGTCCTGTAGCCCATCCCAGCCTTGTGCATGTCTACAATTTTATCCCTGATGTCCTTACACAGCTCTCTGGTCTTGGCCATTGTGGAGAGGTTGGAGTCTGTTTGATTGAGTGTGTGGACAGGTGTCTTTTGTACAGGTAACAAGTTCAAACAGGTGCAGTTAACACAGGTAATAAGTGGAGAACAGGAGGGCTTCTTAAAGAAAAACTAACAGGTCTGTGAGAGCCGGAATTCTTACGGGTTGGTAGGTGATCAAATACTTATGTCATGCAATAAAATGCAAATTAATTACTTAAAAATCATACAATGTGATTTTCTGGATTTTTGTTTTAGATTCCGTCTCTCACAGTTGAAGTGTACCTATAATAGAAATTACAGACCTCTACATGCTTTGTAAGTAGGAAAACCTGCAAAATCGGCAGTGTATCAAATACTTGTATACTCCCCACTGTATATATATATATATATATATATATTAATGTGAAATAAACAATCAGAAATGAACAGCAAACATTACACTCACAAAAGTTTCAAAATAATAGAGACATTTCAAATGTTATATTATTGGCTATGTGTTGTAACAATGTGCAAATAGTTGAAGTACGAAAGGGGAAAAAATACACAGATAAATACAGGTTGTATTTACAATGGTGTTTGTGCTGCACTAGTTGCCCTTTTCTTGTGGCAACAGGTCACAAATATTGTGTAATGACGCTCCAGGAGAGTGAGGATCCATTTGCAGTTTTATTACAATCTTGGTCGTACAAACAGGGTCAATCGCCAGCAGACACAACAGTAGGGATAAGGCAACTCGTAATCCAGGTACAGGCATAAGGTCAGAGCAGGCAGCAAACTTACAAAAATCAGTCCAGTAAAGAATATAGTCCAGGGCAGGCAGCAAAGAATCAAGGAGGGAAAAACAGTCCAGAGTAAATCCACGGGTAGACAGACACAGGCGAAAACGCTCAGGAATGATCACCAGGGTAAACAAGACTTCGCAAAGAGAGAGAGTTTGAGAGCACCTAAATAGTCTACTGATGGGAGTCAGGTGCAACGGTAATCAGAGCCAGGTATGTGGGAAATGTAGTTCAGGGGTTTAATACTCAGGAGAGGGTTCCCTCTGGTGGTGAGCAGGAGGAACAGCGGGAGTCTCGTTTGTGACAGAGCCCCCCCCCCCTGCGAGCGGCTCCTGACGCGAAGAGGCGAACGACGCCGGGGTCTTCCTCGAGGTCGGGGGCCCGGTTTCTCCGGGTGCGTCCTATGGAACTCAGTCATGAGTGCGGGGTCGAGTATGTCCTCTGTATTAACCCAGGATCGCTCTTCCGGTCCGTACCCCTCCCAATCCACCAGATATTGGAGGAGCCTGCCCCGGCGTCTGGAATCGAGTAGATCTCGAACCTGATATGCCTCCTCGCCGTCCACCAAGATGGGTGGGGGGCCCTGATCACTGGTCTGCTCCTCCTCCTCCGCTCTCGGACCACCAGCGGGTTTGAGAAGTGATACATGAAAAGTGGGAGAGATACGATAATTAGAGGGTAATGCCAAACGGAAGGAAACTGGTGTAATCTGTTTAACAATTTGGAAGGGACCTACATACCTGGGACTGAGTTTCTTGCAAGGAAGTCTGAGGCGTAGGTCTCGAGTGGATAGCCAGACCCATTGACCTGGAGTATATTCGGGATTGGGGCGACGGTGACGATTGGCCTGCAACTTCTGTCTCCTGACAGCACGTAGCAAGTGGGTGTGAGCCTGACTCCAGATGTCCTCGCTTCTCTGGAGCCAATCGTTGACAGAGGGTACCTCGGTGGGTTCCCCTGACCATGGAAATAGGGGAGGTTGGAAGCCCATTACACATTGGAATGGAGTTAGACCGGTGGAGGGTTTCTGGAGTGAGTTCTGTGCATACTCCGCCCACATGAGGAATCGACTCCAGTCTGCTTGGTTCTGATGACAGTAGGCTCTGAGAAACCGGGTGATCTCCTGATTGAGGCGTTCTGTCTGACCATTAGATTGTGGGTGATATCCTGAAGTGAGGCTAATGTTGATG